TATGAAAAGTCAGACAAAGTAGCAATACAACTGGATGAAGCTGCCCTGTGCCCACAACATCACACCGTTTACTATATTCATAATGTGTATAATCCATTGCATTAGCTGTACTCTGTATATGCATAATGGAATGCAATACAACATCACAAAATGACCTTATAAATGACCAGAGAGTCGAGTTAATGCCTATCTGAGAGCGTAAACAAAAATGTAACCTTATAAACTAAAATAAGGTTAGTTTTAGACTATTGTACTGGAATGCATTCAATTGCACATTTATAAACACTGAGTTCACCTCCTGTACATGCTTCCTTTGCAAACATTTCAGATTTCCTTTTCTGATGAAGTATACAGAATTACTGAAAGCTCTCTTTGTCTTTACTACATACAGAAAACAGTTAAGCCTTGTACCCATGAGGCTAAATGTCCTCCCAGTGAATCAGCTGGTCATCACAATTGTGTAGTTTCACCCAGCAAATGATGGAAGAAAATTACACACACAAAACATAGTTGTTTTTTGCTTTTTGGTTGATTTGTTTTTTAATATCTTTCTCCCTGTGGTACTATATCATAATGCATTATAGTGGAGCTAGCTGGTTGGTAGTGTATGTTGCTAGGTCTGTTTCCCTGCCAAGTGCAGTGACCCAGAAGTGTGAAAGCTTATCCTCCTCTCGCTAGATGGTATCCAGACTGAGTATTCACAGAGAATGCCCATTTTATAAATTGCTGCAAATTCTGCACTGTTACGCACCCACACAACCCAAGTAAGGTGCCATGACAGTCAACCAAAGAGGCCAGATTTCTTAATGTAGAAAAGGGAGATATCAAGGGCAAGAGCAGGTGCTGCAGCTGTCTGCTCAGTTGTGCATGAGATGAACATTGGGAGGCTTTTATCTCAGTGCTTTTCTCAAGATTCCCCTCACATGAGGGTGAGCAGTGAACAAGTCTAATATCATGTAAAAGGTGTGGTGCCTTTTAGAACTACAAGACTGTTTTTTGAAATTCTCAAAGCACCAAATAGGAAGCAGCGGCCACTAAGTTGTGGCACACAGAAATCAATGCTTATGAAAACTACTTTGCAGAACACACAATTTGCATTGATTCATTTGCTAAAGCTGCAATGCTACAATAATGCAATTGATGTTAAAAAAATGTTTCTAATAAGCGCATTTTTTCATAAAAGATTTTACAGCTGTTACCTGAAATGTTTCATATGATTAGACCAGCCTCTTACCACCTTCCCACGCAAACACACACACATACTCACACGTCCTCATGTACGCACACACACTGGCTTGATTGATGCATTGTGCTATATGAGAGCTGTGTGTGATGGGTAGCCAGCAGGGGGGTGGGTCGATGTGCTGCTGCTTTTGTTCTGTCTGTCTTTCTGTGTATTCTCATGTTCCTCAAGCACTGATAGCAGCAGCTTACTGTTGCTGCACTGTATGAGAGAATCTCCATCTAACTTGGGGATTAGAGAAGGAGTCATCAACCTTATCCGGAGCGTGGTAGATTTTTTACATGCCATACGGCTTCAGTGTCTCTGATCTCTTTACCAGCCCACTATAAAGACAGAGGAAAAGGGGCTTCACTCTTTCAATAAGGTAAAGTAACACTTTCTTAATATATTGGCTTGATTAAGTTTTACAGGATAGAGGTTAAATTGACTTGATGGGAACTTCTGTCTTTATTTTTTGCTGTTGTACACCTATATAAACCATGATTGATTGATATGAAGCAAACTTTCTAAGAGAGCAAAAACTTTGTAAGTTGGGCATCCCCGCGACCCTGTACCCAGGATAAGCGGTTGACGATGGATGGCTGGATGGATGGAAGTTGGGCATATGCATACTGCAGATGTTGTCAGAAGGGGGTTTGATCACCTGATGCTTTACCCTTTATCTCACCGATCCTATTCTCTAACATGAGTTGTATATTTAATTATCTTCCAACACAGAGGGTAACTTCTAATAAAAATTGACTATTTTTATAAAAAGGAAAATATCAAACAAACACACTTGTTGATTGTAACCATGCTCTGTGTAATGCTTACGAATACATTTAGAATTTCTCATTCATCATTTACCATAAGAAGTATCTTAATTTCGGTTTAAACATAGTTTGAAGGTATTTCAATATCCACTTAACAAAGTGGAAAATCAAAACCCATTTACTTACAGTACATGGAACACACAAGACATGCTCTGTCCTTCTTATCGATCCATTTGCTTTCCATGAACTTTGTATTAGTAATGGCTGAATAAACATGAACACATTCTCCCATGTCAGTTTCAAAATAGTCATAAAAGACAGCAAAGGGTGCATTCCACCTTTGGTGTGAACACAGTCACACTTAATCAGAATGTATTGTATTTGATTTATGGGCCTTTCATTAGACAGCGCTTTGATGTCTAATGAAGGGAAATAAGAGGTGATTGAGGGTTCCTCTGACGCACAAGGCTTCACTGAGCACAGCATGAACTCCCTGTATAGACCTGACACACTGCATGTCTATGTGTTCTTTACCTATTGTGCTGTGATATAAAGGTCTATGCTTTCATTCTTTAACACCATGAACAGAAAACCACAGAAAATGCTGCTCTATCAATTTATTGAATTTTTATTTGATTGAATGTTTTAATGGTAGCTGCTGTATATAATAAAGAATGTTACACAACATTCTCACATATTTCTCATGTACATGTATTATGAGTCTGATTCACTACTGCTCTGTTGGATTAAGGACAGTACCATCCCTCATCCTAATTTTGGATAACACAACAGCGGACAAAATTTAAAACATGTTCTTGTTCTCAGACGAATTATTAATGCGATATTTGACAGACATTTTACAGCATCTTCTGAAATGGAGAGAGAGCATTGTGGGGCACCTGCACCTAACTCCTATCTATAATGCAGATCAGAGGCAGACAGGAAGTGGGTTTACATGGGATGATAAATGCTGTTAATGTTAAGTGATTCCATCACATTAACAAAACACAGAAATCCTCTTACAATCACTGCCGCAGCTGAGCAATGGCCACGTAGAACAGTGTGTCGACGCCCATACAGCCATTTTCATTATAAAAAATGTGCTCTGAAATGCATATTTTGGTTGTCCTAAGAATGACCTTGTAAAAACAAAAAAATAAAATCAGTTCAATAATACTGAGTGAGGATCTCCTCTCTCACCAGAAAGGCCATGGCAGCTCCCTGCTCTTATTTTATCTTATCATGATTGATATTTGGCCCACCGCTTTAACAGTTTGCAAGTGTTAATAATTGATATTAAAAAGGCACTGACTGTCATAATCCTTGTGATTGTATAAGATAATACAAAAAAACGCATACTCAATCTTTCATTTCAAGGTAGTGTATAAGGTGAACTGGAATACATTTCAGTGGCAAAGTGCAATGTGGAGAAAGTTTAAAGTTCTTGGAACAGAGTTAGTTTAGTTTCCATATGTCAGGCATTAGGGAAAAGAATACCTAATACAATACCATTTCAAATACCTTGCAAAGGAGAGTCTGTGTTTACTGTGTAATGAGCATGATTGCTCTTCTTGAAGAACTGAAAAGCTTAAACATTGGCTGTCATAGAGAAACAACTTACAACTAAAACTAAACTATGTGCACACAAAAACAGACCACACAGACACAACTTACATATACACTACCCAATTTGTTTGTAGTGCCCAACAGTAACCCTCCCAAACCGAAACCCTGAGCTGAGGGATTTCCTCAGATTTCCTTTATGAAAATAGTGGCTATGGTTGAAATGTGAGCACTGAACAGGTACATGTCTAAAGCATTAAGAAAATAAAAAAACAATGGATATGGGAAAAAATTTTAATATGGATATGCAAAGGTTCTCATTCATCCAGGTCATAGTTATCAGGGGCGGAGCACAAAATCCTTGATTTAAGTTAAAACGTTTCAACATTACTCAGAATGTAGAGACAGATAAGTGGTATGAAAACCTTACAGCTGTGTTTTCCTCTGCTGTTGTTGCTGCAGCGGTCTGTGTGACTGGTCTGTGAGCGGGCGGCTGGTGCAGCCTTCCCCCCGCCGCTGCCACTTGCGGGGCTCCTGAACTCTAAAAACTTTTTGTTCCGCCATCACTTTTCATAAATAACTGTCAATATTTGAAATCTACACAGTTGATTTCTCATCTCAAAACTTCTCAGAAGTGGATTTAGTAATGAAATAACGTATGAAAATTGTAACATATAAAACTTTCTGTTGCTGGCCTCTGTCAGGCGCATGCAATGATGATGCAGTGAATAGTGACAATTCTCTCTGACCAATCAGCAGTCTGCTGTGTTTTCACGTCACATTTTAGCATCGCCTCAGCTTGCTTGGAATCGCCTCAGCTTTCGTATCACCTTGGAGGTGATATGAAAAAAAAAGTACCTGGAAACAGGTACAGGTAAATTTTTTCCACAATGTAAAACCAAAAAAAGGCGAGTAGAGTTGAGGCAAGTCGAGCTGGTACCGTGCAAAAAAAAAAACAAATCCCCCCAGTCCTACGTCCCCCCAGTCCTACGTCCCTGATAGTTATCCAAGGCAGGTTAAACCAAGTCCAGTTGCCCTTGATTTTAACCTTCCTTGGATAAATATGGATATAAAACATATGTAATGTAAAAACTACTAACTATTAAAAAGAAACCCCAACCAAGACAAATTATTTAACGTGACCTTGAGCCAGCTGACTCAACTAAATAAAATGTTGACATGAATGAATGGTAACCGATTAAAGATGCAGTGTTGCAGACGCAAGCTGTATGTCGTCACAAATTATTTTTATTTTGGGGCCCCCAGACATTTTACTTGCTGATCATGATAAGTACTCTTACATAATGCTGGAGACTTTAGTGGGTCAGAGTGACAGAGAGGAAGACTGGGTTTGTATAAAAGACACTAGGACACGCTGTGCACAAAGATAGACTCTCTGATGCTGACATCTGTGTGTGTGTGTGTGTGTGGTTGATGTCACAGAAATGGACGTGGAACGTGGATTCTACCGGCAGGTGGATGTTCAGGACCACGCTCACTACATTGTTGCCTTCTTTGTCTTTGTGATTGGAACAGTGGGTGTTACTGGGAACGCCTTGGTCATGTACGCATTTTTCTGGTAAGTGATGGGGTGATGGCAACGAATGTGCTTGTCTGTCATCGTCAATGTATGTATGTAATGTAAAAGCTGCATTATTTATATCAGTTGTTACAAGCCCTTTTTTTTTTTACAACTTGAACTTAACAAAAACAAAAGCTTACTCAGAACAAACTCCTTGTTACCCTGAAAACCAAATTTGTAATTCTGCTTTTTAAAAATCAATCAAATAAATCATTAATAATCTCATCACTGCATCCTCCCAGGTCTCATTACAGCCTTTGGTTATTATCTGTGAAAACTAGTATGGAAGAAGGAGCTGTTCCAAATGATTAAAGTAAGCCATATTGTTTCTTATTAGCCTTTCATTGGTTTCACTACAGCTATGATAATATTTTCAATAAAAGCCTTATTTTGACCATGTCTCCTACAACATTAATTGTATAGGTAATGTATGAGATAGGTTGCTGAGTACAGATAAATGGATGGAACAAATGCATTTCAGAAAAACAAAACAAATAAAGAGGAAGTGAAGCATCATGAGACATGCTGCATGGTGCTCAAGGGCTGTTAATATGCTGCTTGCAGGACACAGCCAGCATTGAGTTATTCTCTAAGATTTACTAGTGATACGCCCGTACATGTATGTGTTGTAAAGCACAACTATTGCTCCTGTAAATAAAGTGGCTAAAAATAGATAGTTAATAAATAAACATTTGACAATATTTGGCTCTTAGTAGTCACTTTTGTGTAATTGATGTGATGTGGATCCCATTTAGCAACACATTTTAGATATCAGCTAACTATTCTATGAAGTGCTAATATCTAACACTATTTCACTATATTTATGTTTGTAGTGAATATTTAATAGATTGGTCAAAATAAAGATATTGATAGGATATAAACTAATCACCATTTAGAAAGCTGATTTTAACCACACCATCACTAAAATAAAATGCTCCCACGGAAACTGTAATCAAGGTCCATCGTTACATTAAAATAGTTGCAAAAGATTAACTACTAGAAGTGCTGACAAGTTCCCTAACAAGGTGGACCACACATCCCCATTGGCAGCATGATGACAGGTTAATCTGCCCGTCAATGGTATGCACCCATATTTGGCACCTATATTTGACATTGTAACAAGCCTCAATTAGCCCATCACATTTCTGCATGTGAACTAGTCCTATGAAAAAAATCCTGGGAAGTCAGGAAGAAGTGCACGGCTAGCCACACAGTGCTCTATTGTTCATGTCCTGCTCCAAAACTCCAAAACAAGTTAGTTCACAGAAACAGTTTGCCCGAGGATTGTTCTGTTAATCAGACAAACCGTCCCTTTGGTGTGATATTTAAATAGAACATTAGCGATATCTGACTAAGATCTAATCAGTTTTCTAATGTATCTAATTCAATATTTGGATCTACTGAATATTAATACTACTACTGTTGGAATCTGGACTCAACATGGACGCTACTACAAAAATTTGTTGGATTAGTATTATCAGAGCATACAAACAACACACAGACATCTAGTTCACTCTACATGGACAGCAAACTAACCATATTACAAATTACATGTTTGCAAAATATGTAAATACAATACGTGATTTTGCATGAATCAAAGTTCTGTATACTTCTTAACGCACTTTATTTCTGTTTTTGCAATAAATATTTAAGGAGAGAAAAAAAATATTCTTATTATTCCGACACCACGTGAATGCACCATCAGTCACCGCTCACCTCTCTTTTTCCAAGCTACAGTTTTAGCACAAGTGCTAAATAATACATGTGGGCCTCCCGCAACATGGCAACATCCATGTAAGGGGACCTGCAGTGTATGTAGATGCTCATTCTAAGATTATAAAAACATAACAATTCATTATGTAAGGTCTTTACACACCACTGAAAACATTTATGGATATTTTATATTGCATTTCTGTCAATAGATCCTCCTAGACACTGAACCTTTAACTACAAGTTATATACCAATGCCTAATTTTTAGGGACAAGCAAACTAAAAGTCAACACTTTAAGCAGTTCATGTGGTATACTTTCAAACATGCACAGCGCACACTAAAATTCTTGGATGTTGCAGATATTTACAGTGCTGAGTTATGGAAAACAGTGTATTCTTGCATTAGGAAGCACAGATGTCATAAGCACAGGCACAGGCAGAGAGGTCTTCACAGCAGCCTGCAGGCATTAAATACCAGGAAGCAGCTCAGTAATGTTCTAACTGTACCGGATAAATCAATGAATAATTTCAATTATTCAGTATATCTAATATGTTATTTTTTCATACAGTCGATACGTTGTACCACCTAAACCTACATGAAGCTTAAATAACAGCACTGAAGCTCAGGGTAATCCAATAAATAGCATGTGCCACACTATACACTGATGTCAGATAATGCAACAAGATTCTCATCTAGACTACACGAAAAATTTGTCTGCAGGGAAAAAAATTGGCTCTTCTAGGTTCCTCTCATTTTTAAATGTTTTTACTTTCACTTGACACAAATCATGATGTACCCTAAAACGTACCTTCCCTGCCTCATTCTTTTACAGACAAAAAGTAACCCAAGATAGTGAATGCACTGAAGCACCGAGTGTTAGATAAAACCCTTGGCCTGACATGTTTTCTGCATTAAGGTCTAACCTCTAGTGATACACATCTACGCACAGCTATTTCAAATGTAGCATCACTCGATCTCTACTCCAATCACAGTCAGTACACACCCACTCACCTGCATGTAAACACAGAACTACACTCCAACTTATCCGTCTGTGCAATGTTTACTCTTTTTGGTCTTTTTGGTCTAACATTTAGATATCCAGAACAAACATGCAAATATTATCATTGATTTCAATTCATTTGCAACAAATATTCACCCAATATCTGTGCCACTATACTCCCTATGCATTTTATGTCACGGTAAATAAGTATAATGTAATGAATGCGAGTGGATAAAAGACATTAAAGGCTGCTATAAATATTTAGTATTCTGATAATATCAAGTACCCGTACTGACCATCTGTGCCCACTCACAGCTTTAGAAAAAGCACTGTCGACATATGCTGGGGGTCCCAGCTGGACCGCTGTTTCCAAGCTCATTACTGTTAATAAATAATAATGTGTATCACAGATTTTCATGAAGTGAGATTGTGTGAATAGCAAACTTATTCAGAAGAGAGAAGAGAATTGATTTTAGGGAGACATGAGGGACGTTAGAAGAAGTCACTATCAGGGACAAAGCTTTTAATCGCGCTCAAATGTTGTAGTGCAAATTTAATTTTCTTCCTGGACTTGCTCACAGGCTTGGCTCCAATTAAGAAAATGAAGCTGCTGTGTTGTTCTATTCTGTGTTAGTGTTCATTTGTGGGAGGCACACAGATGTTTCGAAAGACAATAGAATTTCCTTTGCAGCCTTAACCTTTACCCTGTCAGAAAGTACCGAAGCTTGTGTTGGAGTCATTTCTAATTGGATTTCTGATGTCTAATGTTGTAGTGTCCGCTTTGAATGACTATTCTTCTTTACAACTGTTGGAAGAAAATCACTGTTGTGGCCTTTGCTGACTGTACTCTTTACATGCTAACAGGTTTTGCCAAAAAGAGTCAATAAGGGAGTCCGCTAATTAATAGTGAATATATGCTTGTGTTCCTCCATTTTACTTTTATGTCAGTGTGTTTACTTATGATTTTGTGATTCCCCTGCTATGAGTTGCAATCATGCATCTTGGTTCCATCTTTGATGTGGACTTGCCTTAAGAGATTAATAGCATTAGAATGACAGTATAGTAGTATTATTTAAAGTGATTGTTTGGATGTGCCATTGTTATTGATTTCCACTCCCCTGCCTGTTATGGTTAGAGATGTGGATTGAGTTATTGGATGGATATTGCATTGGCCCCTTATCTTTAAAAAGTGATATAATCCGTTTTAATTCACAGCCAGAAATTTTAAATACAATCTTAACATTTATTTGAACATAGTGGGGTTTAGTTATAAAGTAGGATAACATCATATTAGTCTGCTAACTGGGCAAAACGTTCTTACTTCCTCCCTTCTTGTTGTAGATTATGGAGATCACAAATAGTACTTTTGACCATTTTGCAAGCTTATATTGTTTTCATGTGTTGTCACAAATTACAGAAACGAGTTGACGCAATCAGTGAACAAACAAGTAGCAAAACTGTTGATATGCTTTGGCACAACCAATGAAAATGCATTTATATCTGCATCTGGTTGATTTCTAATAAGAACTAATGGGATTTTGGGCAAGGCAGTGGATGTTTTACACAATAGAAATTGTCAAGCTGTACCAAAAAAACCTGTTCCTCCCATTATATCTGATGAGGTACAGTAACAGCAGCAAAAGACTGAATGTGTGTAAAATAAAGAGTGTAAGCATACTAACTCACAACAGATTGCTATTGTATTGAAAGGTCATACTTTTACTGTAGATCTTCAATCTTGCAATCACTTCTGGAAATATATTTTGTTTAATAATGTGTCAACATATTGTTTTGTGGCATACTAACTACTTTGGATTTGAGACCTTTCAATCATCGTGTGTTTCAGTAACAAGAACCTGCGGACTCCACCCAACATTTTCATCATGAACCTGGCAGTCAGTGACTTCCTCATGGCAATTACACAGTCGCCCATCTTCTTCATTAATTCCCTTTACAAGGGGTGGATTTTTGGTGAAACAGGTATTTTTTATCCACATTCAATTAAACTGTATGCGGTCTACAAAAAATGTTTCTATGTTGTTTCTGTAAGGAGCTTTGTGTGAAATACAGTACCCATTTATGTTTTTATGTCACTAAAATATATTGCAAAAACATTAGGGTATTTTTCCCATGCAAAATTTTAAGAGCTTTTTAGCATGTTGAGAGTATTCTTAAGTCGTTTTTAGTATTCTGCATATGAGTGTTGTGTTACAATCTGTGGCTGCTGTTAATTTGTTTAGCCATGAATGAAAAATGCAGGAAACAATATTTTGATGTTTCTCTCTTTACCCCAACCCCCGAGCCTATTTTACCTGACTTCTGAAACCAAACCTACACCCTTGACTATATGAATAGCGGGTAAATTGCAATTTGGAGTACTGACCAATCATATTACTTATCTCGTGTAATTATTCCAGTCATCTGTTATCTACCATTCAGAAGAAGAAAGGTATTAATGAAACTCTTTCATCTTTCTTTTTCCCCATAGGCTGTAAAATGTATGCCTTCTGTGGAGCTTTATTTGGAATTACTTCCATGATAAACCTTCTAGCCATCTCTATAGACCGCTACATTGTCATCACCAAGCCTCTGCAGGCCATACAGTGGACCTCCAAGAGACGCACTTGCCTCTCCATCGCCCTGGTCTGGCTGTACTCACTAGCTTGGAGCCTTGCACCACTTTTGGGGTGGAGTAAGTAATGTATTTGCTCAACTCCTTACTCTTTTTATTAAACTATGCACATTTTATACTTTAGACCCTACACTTCCCTCTTATCTATTTTTGTGTTAATTTTTCTCTCAAGGTTCGTACATACCTGAGGGCCTGATGACCTCATGCACATGGGACTATGTGACATCTACTCCTGCCAATAAAAGTTATACCTTGATGTTATGCTGCTTTGTATTCTTCATCCCTCTGGGCATTATATCCTACTGTTATCTGTGCATGTTCCTGGCAATCCGCCAGGCAAGCAGGTGAATGCATTTCTTTTTTTATTTTTCACAGGTTAATATGTTACAGCACGTCTACTTAATAACCAACATAGAATTTCAATTAAAAGCCTAGTCCAAATTATTCTCTTGTTCCTTTTTCTGGCCTGATGCTGCCACCCATTTTGACAAATAAACGCAGGTCTCAATTTTTATACAAGTTCTTTGGATGTATTAAACCTTACCGTGTCATCTGCTTGAGCTAGTTCTAAGCTACTTAGATCACGCATGCAGATATAAATGTTTAAACGTTTGTCAATATGGACATGCTACACATCACAAGATTGGTTAGATTCTCCACAGTTCAATTATAATGTTAATTTTACAAAAACAATTCAGACTTAAGAATATGGTAAACAAGAGAGACAAATAAAGCCTAATTTTTAATATTCATACTAGTTTAAATAAACAATTTAAGAGGTTTGTGTGAAAGGAATTAAAGGCCTGTCCCAAATGTAGGCAGGGTTAGTGCAGTGATTAAAGCAAATAAAATCCTGAGCAATTAATTGACGTTTTATGGTATTTAAAAACAGCATCGCATGATTGAAGTGCAGTCCCATCAACAATCTACTGGAATGTGTTTCAGAAAAGGCTTGAAATTACTGCAATACAATTTGTTAAGTGCAATCACAAGCACCATATATATTGTGATGTGGCTTCCGCATCTCATCTCTCTTTCCGTCTTCCCTTCTCTAGTTTCTATTTGTGCAGCTGTATATTTGTTATATGTTTTTTGTCTTTTTTTTGCCCTCCTTGTGCTATATCTGTAGCTGCTACACATTTCAGGGGTCAATTTGGCAGTCACAACCAAGTTAGAATGGAATTAACCTTTAGTTTTTATTTTAAGGGAGCTGTTAACTTGAAAGAATGCCTGAATGTATGTGGAAATTGATTGTGTTTGCCATCATTAAGAATGTTCCAATCCTCAGGATAGCAAGGAGGGAAAAGAATATTAAAGTGAGAGAATAAGAAAAATTAGATAGTTCCCTGTACATCTTAACTTCCACACGTGTCTCACTGTGTCTACATTTGGGTCCACAGTCCTGTAGATGTTACATAATAAAAAACTGTCTGAGAACGCTGCATTGTTTTTCTTTTGGTTTTGTTTATTTAACTTTATTTAGCCTCTGAATAGGCTATAGATAGACAAAATTGCTCAATTCCTTCTCTCTATCCTAACAGAGATGTGGAGAAGTTGGGGTGCCAGGTGAGGAAATCAACCCTGATCCAGCAGCAGTCTATCAAGACTGAATGGAAGCTGGCCAAGATTGCCTTTGTGGTCATCATAGTGTTTGTGCTTTCCTGGTCGCCTTATGCATGTGTCACACTCATCGCCTGGGCTGGGTAAATATACAGTATGACAACTGTCAAGGGCTCTTTATGATATAATCATGTAATAGTTTAACTGCATTTGTTGTGTGCATTCAGCATGGTAGACCCTGGCATAAAACATGCTAGCTTGCTCTATGTAATTCATTTCAGCCATTAACCATGAACCATATTCTACTTCTTGTATACGGTCAAACTAAGTACCAGTACCACAACACAGGTGATGCACAGTTCTATTCTTTACAAATGCTTTACACCTTTCAGATATGGAAGCATCCTCAATCCCTATTCCAAAGCTGTCCCTGCTGTTATAGCCAAAGCATCGGCCATCTACAACCCTTTTATCTACGCCATCATTCACGCGAAATACAGGTGAGCTAAGCTTAAAAATAACAGGGGAGAGAGAGGGGAAAGATAACAGAGGTTTTGCTGAGAGATAATTATTTTTCAACAGGGACACCCTAGCAGAAAAGGTTCCCTGTCTACACTTCCTAGCCCAGGCCACCAGGAGGGACTGCATATCAGTGTCACAGAGTGACTGCTCATTCAGGGACTCGACACTGAGCAGACAGTCATCAGTCTCAAAAACCAAGTTTCACAGAGTTTCTTCCTTGTCTACGACAGACACAGTGAGTTTGGCTTCAATGCAAGTTTTTGCAAGCAAACAGGTCAAGTTGCACCATCAATGACGTGTTTACAGAGATCTGAAATTGAATGCACAGAAATGCCCATTTAAGTTGTCTTTTGTCTTAGTCTTGATTCCTATTTTGGTATAGTTGGTATAGTTGCCTTTAGGCCAGTATGTCACTAGAAATCTTTGGATTATGCAGAATATGTAGATATTAAAATACTCTCTTTGCATAAGAACTGTATACATTCATAACATTAACTTTGTTGTCATATTTCTTGGCCAAGAAAGGCCATAACAATAAATAAATAAATAAATCACAGAAAAGCTGCAGATTTACAATTCTATTACAGCTGTTTAGCAATGGCAGAGGTTCAAACATGGTGTAAGCATTGCCCTCCTTACCTTGAATGGATATCACATTAGTAAATACTTACCTTGATACGTGTATTAATGTGAATATCCCTTGCACCAGATGTGGAGTGACGTGGAGCTGGACCCTATCGGCCATTGTCTGAGGTCCAGCTATTCCCTTGGAGCTCTGAGGGACAAAGAGTACAACTCACTGGCTAAGCAGACCAAGGAAAGGGGAAGCCAAAGCCAGGAACAGGTAAGGTAGGTGCGCATCATTATATTTGTTGATTTTAGATTCAAATAATCTTGACGTCAAAGCTGTGGTGGAGCCAGACAGTATTTGTATGGGTGGCCTGGCTGACGGGAGTCATATTGGGGTGGCAAATACACTAGTATCTTGTTCAATCTTTCTGTGTGCTATGGAACTGCAAATTATATCATGATGTTTGTTTATGGCCAAAATGTTTGAACCTAAAACAAGCTCCTGAAAGTATTGTAGATGTGCTGACAAAAGGTAGAGAAACAGTGCCATTTTATTTATTTACTAGAATTTTTATAATATTGTCCTCAGCTTTCAGTACTTATGAATCTTGTACCTTAATATCTGCTATTTTAAGTTGGGTTCTTCTGTTTCTGTTCTTGCTTTCATTTAATAGATATTAGCATCAATGTTTACAGACCCATCCAGAAGAAACTAATTAGACCATAACCCCTCTACCCTAGGTGGGCCTTTTGTGCAATGAATTTAACCTAATTGTGAGTGACAGCTACCAAGCACCACACTGAGATCATCATAGTGTTGTACACGACCTGATGTTTATCGTGTATTGATCATACAGCCTGCCCAAAGTTACACAACAAACAATAACTGCAGCCATAAAAAATGAACACAGTCAGACTGAGCTATCTTACCTTAAACAAGATGATTTTTACTCCCCTTCCACTGTGCAAAAACATCCACATTATTAAAATAAAAGACTCATCATTTAGGTGGACAGGCCAGGACGCTTGTTTCATTGTCCTGGCTCTCAGATGCTTTCTTGCCCCAACTTGAAAACAAGCACTGTGTTTGAGTTTCTATTATTTTAAAACTGACTGGATTAGAAAAATCCTGTAAATTTATTAACATCCTGCTGGTCACAGACAAACAAACTATTTACTATTTAGCAATATACTTGAGGCCCCAAACCCACTGCTCTTCCAGTTACAGTAGGTCTTTGAGATTTATCAATATAGGTTCACTGAAAAGCTTATACTCCTGTCACTTTCATTTAATGATGACTGATTTACAGTGGTCACTGTTCTACAAACTACTCCAAACTATACTGGAGCTGGTAATGCTGGAGCACTAACTGCTAAAGCAAACTGAACATTTCCTGCTGATGCTCCTTCACATTAAAAGCATTTGTATTGACAAAACTCCAGTTAGCTTTTATTTTGAAGGAGCTATGGGAAATGCTGCAATGGGATATCATATCTTTTTGTCACCAACATCAGAGGCAAGTAAAAAATAAGCGACCGAAAATATAGTACTGTATCAGGCGGCCAGACATTAGCCTGGGGTGGACACCACAAACCACCCCCATTGCGTCAAAGCCATAACATGTCATCACAATCATAAAAAAATCATAAAAAGCCTCAATCCATGCCCATTACTTTGTCTTTTATTTAAATGCTTCTAGATTCCCATCCCAGAGCGAGGCTCACTGAACAGATGTGACCACAACATATTGCCAGAGACTTTCAACACAGTATTGCCCTCGGCCTGGGTGAGGCAAAGGGAGGAGAATCCTGAAAGTTGGAATGAAGAGAAGAAACAAAAAGACAGCCAAGAGAAAGAGGGTGATTATGAACAGAGAGCAGCAGAGCAAGAACAGAAAGAGAATGATGAGTCACAGGTCCTCATCAAGCCAGACTCTCTGGACAATATTGTATCTGTGCATTTCAAAGCCATCATCAGACCTAACTCAAAGACAGACCTTGTGGACCATGGCAGTAGTGACGACAAACAAAGCACACAGAGCAGACAGAGAGAGCTGTTACTCGATTTGCAGCCTCTAGACTGTTCTGCTCAACTATTGGGGTCTGTGCAAAGATTTCTCTCCCCAACACCAGGAAGCTAAATGTTGAATATGTTTATTTATCCACGTGGCTATGTAAACAAATTTGTTTTTGTTTTTTTGTTCGAGACTAAATGAACTTTTATTTCCTCTGTTTCACCATGCACTGCAGCCAAATACATGTGTTTACAAGTCTTTTGTGCAGACTGACACACGACTGTATTAACAGATAATCCACACATACCTCTCCAGTTAAGGCTTGCTGTTAATATACACACTAATGCTACCACTGTTTTGTTCAACACTGCAACATAAACAAAGAAATGGAACCTAAACTTCTAAAAAGACCTTTCAAAATAGTATGCATAAAAACACAAAAACAAAGCCAGAAATCATCTGCATATCAAAAACAATTAATAAAAAGAGCAACTAGATTTATAATCAACTTGTTGTAAAGAGACCAAAGATTATTTTTTGGAAAGTTTATTGTGTATTTTGTGAAAAAGTTGATTTCACACGTGTTTACTTTGTAATTAAAGCTAAGCTAAATAAATTAAAGCGAAGTTATCAGCCTTGCTCATTTACATGAGCAATGAGAAGATTTGGTTACTATTTCTTGATAATGCAATGTCTACAATGCGTTAATGAGTCACTGTAGAACTCTTTGTAATGTATGTGTTTTTCATGTTTTGTAAGTTAAGTACATTATGTACTATATCATTGTTCAGGCGTTAAGTAATGTGTTATACAACCCAAGAATTTCATTAACCACCGCCATTTTGGAAACAATGTTTTACATATTTGATATAAAGCATACATTTTCAAAACAAAACTTTGAAATGTAATTTTCTGAAAAGGAATAATGCTGCATGTTATCAAAAACAGTATTGGCATAGCAGCAATCACTGAAATGTTGCACCTTTTCCTTCTTTAAATATTCAGTATTTATTGCCCTTGGTGCTATTTTTCTTTTGAACGAGAATGGCTAATCATGTTTATTTGTTGTGGGAAATAAACTTTACATGTGCACAATCTAAGAGCTTGCAAATACTACTTAGTGTATTACACATGGTATCATACAACCAAGTATAATCTCACCACATCATGGAACCTAAAAGCCTTTGCAATCTCTATCACTTTAATCAAAAGCATTACAGACATTAATAAAATTACTTTATCATAAATGAGAGCCTGCAAAAAAACCCCAGTATGTTGGTATAATTTTTTGTATATATTTTTTTCAAAGATCAAATCCACAATGCATTTAAAACCTGTACACAATGCATGTACTTTGATTATCTGAGCCACCAGGATGACCAAAGCCCATTAACAATGGATCTGTCGAATGTATGACTATGACTCAGCTGGGGGATGCTGTCCTACATGCATCCTTTTAAATTTTTACTTATAGTCTGATGTAATCAAATGGTACAGTTTCCTCAAAGGTTGAGGCAATTTATCTAGATAACACTTGATGGCAGGATATGCGATTCTGGAGAAATCTAATACCATGACAAATACCATGATATAGAGCGAACAACTACACACAAGCAATGTAACTAACGTTAGCAAAGTTGTGGGTTGTCGCTACAATTGCTGCTGTGGACAAGATGGTTTCCCAGAGCCAGCACACCAGCTCCAGATGGGATGATCACAACTCTCCTGCTCCTACAGCTAACATCACAACAACAACTACATTTGATGGCTATCTAGAAAGTAAGCTGGATTTCCGTGGGCAAATAATTTAATGTTACCTGGCTGGGATAGTGTTGTGGAGCTTGGTCCGATCTTTCTTTGTTTCCCATTTGCAGAGCCAGAGCTGTGTGCAACCACTGGATTTTTTTCAGCACATACAGAACTGATAGACCGTGAGGACATATTTGCAGAATTTGAAAAAAATGCGGGTGTTGGGATTAGAATTGCCTATGCCTCCTTTAAAGTGTGCTCTTTCTTCAAAACACCCAGAAAGCCCCCCTTTGAACCGTCTTTGAACTTTAATTCCAGGTTTCCCTGAGTGGTTTGCTTATCGAGTGATGTAAGGATGATCTAAAGGAACGTACTGTAGCCTTTATATAAAGCACTAGTACACTTCAGTGGTTCAATAGCATTGCACATGGGGATTTTGCTGGTGGGCAATCAGTTTATAACCATATTGACATGGCACACATGTAACTGAAAGCCCAGAAGACCTACAACTAATGATAATCCATATAATAGGTCATGGCTTTTAGCATGTAAAATAAATCAATGTATATTTATTCAACACATGCAAAAATGGATGCACTATGCATAAGAGAGCTGAAGTGACAATGTCACAAAGGAATATCCATTCATACACAAAGAACAGGACACATTGAAGTACAGTGATAAAGCTGAGAATGCCTTGTCCACTAGTGTGAAACAGCACCCTGTTGAACAAAATACTGCACACTGCTGCCATCCTAGTATACACATTTCTGTCCTGTGTTCCTGCAATTAAAGGATTCCATTTTAACTAAATGGAAAATGTCCAGACATGCCCTGACAGACAGAACAAGGATATACCTTACTGTTGCCAAACCTCTTAATTTCCTGCCAAACCTACTCTGCTTAACTTTCAGTAGCAGACCAGACAAGAAACTAAGAAGCTATTGAAACATAAGATATAGGCTAAAGCTGCAACTATTATTTTCATTAGCGATATTTCCTTAATTAATCGATTGTTTTGTTGATAAAATATCAGAAAATTGCAAGAAAAGTCTGATTCAAATTATCTTCTTATAACCTTGTCAATTAGACATTTTGAGCCAGACATTGTTTCTTATTCTAGATGTGGTGTGTGCCATAAGTTGGTAACCAAAGTTCAGTAAAGTTGAGAAGTCAGTAAAAAATAAACACTGGTAAATGACTTTCATCACTGACTATCATGGTTTCCTTGTTTTTATTAAGATGGTCAGATAGTCTTTTGATAGTTAGAACTCCTTTAATCCTAATTGCCTTGAGTTGGCTTTATGAAAACCTCTGCCTCAGGCTAGATGCTAAGTCTACACAGAAAAGAAACATGACAACAAGGTGAGGTACAAATTGTTTTAGGTATGAACGTTCCATTCATACAATACCTTTCCTAAACCCAGGAAAATAAATTACACAGTGGCTTTAAACCACAGTATCTGCATTAGCTGTGCAGCATGTACATTCTTTGCTGACCACTAGAGAGCATACCAATACTATGTCACTAAATTCTGGGTAAACTTTGAAACCTGCTTCACTTCCATATCACAATAATTGTATAACAGAAAATAAATGGTACAAAACAATAATGATGATGTACCCTAGCAATGCTGGAAAATGCTTTAAAGGGAATAAAACACACAAATACAAAGAAAAAGACAAAACACTAATCCTAAAACGTAGACACAATCAATTTATGTGGTAATCTGCTGGTAATGTGTGACATACTGTGTGTTACTAAATACCTCTAAAAACAAAATATGTTAAGTTAATCTTATTGACCAAAACCACAAATTAGTCTCCAGGGTCTCTACAATCTGTACAGCACCCTCTATCATGAGACCCTCCATTCAGATAAGTAAAAACTCTATGTCAATGTCAAAGAACAAATAACTACATGTACATGATTAATCCCAAAGGGACATTGAACTGTTAAAGTCCTACTTCAGAAGCATTTTGTTATATTTGTTGAAATTCTCTGACACAAAGAGGAAAAAACTGTAATAACAATCATTAGGTCGAATGAAATGATTGACTGGCCTATCTTCCTGCCTACCTGTGCACACTCCGCCCCTGTACTCAGCGCACCTGAAAATATTTTCTGGGGGAGTGGCTTTGGAGGGAGGCCTGAAGGGAGGGGGTGGCATTTATTCGGTTGGATACTTTAAAAATCTAGCTGTCTCTTGCTAGTTTCTCCAGTGTTACCAACCCCAGCTTTAAATATTCATTCATAACTTCATGCAAATCTATCCCCCTTTATACATTCCTATAATTTTCCAATTTTCTGCCTTACTTGACTGGCACTCTTGAAACATTCTTTGACTCAAAAATACCAATGCAAATTTATTTACTTGATTTTAATGGAAGAACCCAGAGCAGACATGAGTAAAATTTAACTTTAATCAAAAGATCAAATGTAAGGACATTTAAGAGACTTCATGCGGGAAGGTTTCAGTCAACAGGTGGTGATTCAATGTGATTTTGAGGCGTCCCAGCAAAGCCATAATTTGTGAAAAGGAAAAAATCTATAACGACAAATGTCATTACTATCAAGATAATGTATCTAAATTACTATTCCCCTTTGTTTAATATGTTCACATATAGTAGGGAAAGCTAATCTGTCAAACAAACCAACAAGTTAAAATATCATACTACCGGCTGCCATCTTTGTCAAAAAAGTAATTAAACTTGGAATAAAAGTCTTACTTCATGTGCAGCCTTATATTAACTGTGTTCCTGTGTTTAAATAAATGCCTCAAAACAACAATCATTTTCATGAAAATAATCTACAAATGTGATGTTGAGGTAAGTGACAGAATACAGCTTCAATTAAGTAAGTGCAGCAAACTCATCTTTGTAAACGCTGGGAGGGTTTAAAGTAGTAGATAGGTAGTGATTTAGTCCTTTCTGCATTGTGCCCGGGTTTTATCGATAGCCTCAGGAGGGCTAGCTTGCATTGTGGGCTTTACCTTCTAGCCCTAAACTGCTCCAGTTGCAGTTAGCTTAACGACACTTTTTATGTTTGATCTACTACAACTCACCTGTACTGCTCCACCGTTTGGCAAGCCCCGACCTGCTGACGCTGTGTTGCTTCAGTCAACAACCACACACGCACTGCTGTGAACCCTCCTACCGACAGCCAGATGGGGCTGGCTCAGATGCGGAAGTTTCAGTTTCCGCTCAGTCCAGTCCACTTGACGAAACTGAGAACAGAAGTCACGCTTCTCTCTCTGAACACCAGACCCGGCTTCACAAGGCAAGGTGAGTACATCTGAGTAAATATTTGAAATAATTACACAGAAAAAGCACTCGTGTTACCGTTATTATTTTACTACTTTATTTGTCTTTTACAAAGTTGCAAATAAAATAATATAACGTTAAGTGCATCGAAATATGTGGCGAGTGTATAACAAAAAAAAAATATATAACGATTTCTTATACTGCTTCTAACAGTTTCTGTGAAGCAGTTACAAGTGGGCTAAAGGTCTGTCAGAAAAGTACAGAAATCTTTTCAGACACGTGCTTTATGTCACCCAAGGAGGCGACCAAAGACAAGTTAAAGTTTAGTTCCGTGAGAGAGAAAAACAGCAGTGCTGAATTGTACAGACGCTTCTGTATATGATTCCCACAAACACAAGAGAGTGTCAGGACGACCTGTATAGTTATCATTCTGTCCCATGACTACAACTGAAGCTAAAAGGCAGAAGTTACATTCAATTTAATGGTCTAGATTACACACTCTGAAGTAAGACACTATAGTCAATTAAAAGAAGGTATTTGAAAAGAAGACTTTTGTGTCAAGTGTTACAAGAGTACAGGGGTTGACTGTTACTTTAAACCAAACATGTCTAATCAATACAAGGTCTGTTTAAAGTCAGGTTGAAACAAGTTGTCCCTCTGACACTGGCTAAGCCAATGCAACAGTTTTGGTTTTTTTTTTTTAGGTTTAAGTAGTACTTTCGTAGGTATTCATTCATATAAAATATAATTTTGGTATTGACAAATGCTATGCACAATAGTGACGTTCAGTACACTGTGAAAACAGACTCCACTCTGTGAGTCAACATGTCCTGCAATGAAGTCACCAGGAGACATTGTCTCCTGAAGCATTGTGGAATGAGCATGACGTCTGAAAGGGCAAATCCCACACTCTCACCACTATGTTCACCAAAGCTCAGAGATGTTTCCTTCCCAATACCTTACTACTTACTAATAGATTACTAGAAGAAAACATGACTTCACACAGCTGCAGTTTGACACATGTAGTGGGAAGGGCATGATGGTCAGGGTAGTGAATATCACAACTCTTTTGACTTGTGTTTGATTCCCAATTAAGAAAGGTTTTCTACTCTGAGGGGAGTGTTCATTTTTAAAGAATGTCTTTTTCTTATTCAACTGTGACAGGGAAGTTACCCCAAATTGTAACTCAAATTTCCCCCCAAAATCCTGCATGTTTCCATTTTGCAGGGTGTGTTTACTGTAAATGCAACAAATCAACATCAAACCATTTGGATAATCCATGTCCTAATTAGATCAAGCAAGTTAATCTACTGCAAGAGCATAAATATCTGATTCAGCAACTTGGCCAGCTGGTCCCAGTTGCGCTGTGCTGAAAGGACTGTGATTTAATCTTGTTTTTGGTGTGAATGTGTTGAAGTATTTAGCACAATAAAGAGCCATTCTGACAGGAACTTGAAAGATAAGGCCAAAGTGGAAAATAACCAGGATATCTCGAAGTAGAATAATTAGGAATAGTATTAGTAGTAGAGAAGAGCTGACCTGGGCGGTGCTGATAAAATGCTTGTGTGGAAACACTGAAAGGTGTGTCTGCTCATGTCTATGCATGATATCTCTAGGGGTTGCAAAACAAGCAGGGGCAGGAGATGAGCCTAACGTTTGTTCTCTCCTTATTAGGAAATGAAATGATATTGATATGTCGGTCTAGTGTGACTCGAGTGTGATCTGGATTTCAGCATCAACATTTTACATAGGCTACCTTCTTAGTGAGATGTCCCAGTTGGCTATGGACTCTAATAATGAAATAATCTGTTGTGAACAACTGACTTAGTTGAGCTGTGTATTCCTCAACGGTTGTTTTTAAACAATGGGCGTATGTCCACAAGCTACAGCTTTTGTCTCAAAGATCGATCTTTGCATAAAACTTACAGTATGTATGGGCATTGTGTTTTGTGTCACCCCAACATTGTCAGCATCAGAGGCGTAGACTCAGCATTTTATGTTGGTGTGCAGTTAAGAATGATACATTTAGTACAGTGCCCTTTTGTGCTTGAACACTAAAAATATATGTTCGTAAACACAGTTTATTATACAAGAATGTTTCTCAAATAATGCTGCAGTATAATGAGTATAAATAGAATGGGTTGAATTTCTTGGTGACAGTTGTATGGATAAATAATTTCCCCTAAAAATGAACTTCTTGGCTCTCCTCAACTCTCTCACCTTGACAAGGGTGACAGCTGCCTTCAGATGGTTGATGCCTTGTTATAGACTTGCATATCCTGAATGTGCGCATGTGTATTTGTGTTTGGGTATATTAATAATATAAATAGTAGAGCTATGTGCTCTGTGCCTCCCAGGTGTTCGCCTCCTCCCTATCACTTTCACACGTGATTTTTCTTTCTTCTCCCCACCTCCCCGCACCCTTTTGTGGTTCCTCTGCTGGCTGCTTTAAAGAGCCTGTTCCCCTCCAGGCATGATCGTGAGGCAGCATGTAGGCCAGCCCTCAGATTTGACGTGCATCCCGTACATCTGGCCAGGTGACAGGCTACAGCAGGTGGTGCTGTGTCCCTGAGGGAATATGTGACAGCAGCATGACTTACAATCTCAAAATGACATGCCTGTGGGATGACAAGGCATTATTATTCATGAAATACTCAACAGAAAAGTATGTTGCCTCTGCACTGCTCAGTGCACAAATGTGTGAATATTTCTTTATTTTTGCCTATGCTATTTTTCAATGCAGGCATTGAAAGATTTAATTGTTCAGTTTAAGAAGTCGCACTCACATGTTCTTCCAGCCATGAAGTATGTACCTTGCAAAATCCTCCGTGCCAAAAGCCAGAGATAAAAGAGCAGATTCAAATGTCTCTCATCCTCATTACAGTTTAAAACTATCCAAATGAAGTCCTTCTTTTCACCCACTTCACTATCTTTTCCAATTTGTTCAACAGAAACACCAGACTTTTAATTCATTACTTCAGAAGTATAAGTCTTAGCTTTCTCTGGTTCTCAGATGCTCTCTAAAGTAAACCTGTGCACAGAGACTCACTTTACACACAGACAGACTACACTACAGCCTGTTATCCAACTACTCGGGCCAGACTTTAGAAAGTGAAGTCTGTTCTGCAAATATGGTATACCATGGTTTATGGTAATTTCCTCAGTCATCATCCTAATAAATTGAATAATCCACAAAATCTTAACATGTGACTGCACTTGACCTCAGTCTCTCTTCCAATAAATAGCTTGCAGCTTCAATTTTTCAGGGGAAAAGGAAAGCGTGACAAGAAGGACTTAAGCCAGTGAAACTCAATAGTGCATGAAATATTTTATTGCACCAAATAGTCTTGGCCGTGTCTCAGTTTTGAAACAGTCCATTTAATTTGTATGCACACATGTATAATCAGGATATGGCCTTTTTAGCTATCCAACAGGTAATGTACCGTAGAAGATGGTGCATTTAGCCGTTGAGATGTTTGGAAATTACGGAAATGCAAGGCAAACCTGCTCTCCAATGAAACATTGAGTAAGTTGGCAGTGAATTGAAGCTAAACTCTGTTGAATATTCAACTGTCCAGGGTGTGTCTTGCTTTTACTCTGGCCCAGCAGCATTACTGTTGCTCAAGGAAAGGCCAATGCTAACTCTCTTGCTCTTGCCTCTACGTTGTTTGTTTAACCCTATATGTGTTACAGTATGATTTTTATTTTGTTTTGTTTTCCTATGTGCAAAGCTATGCCACACCATTTTATGGTTGTTTTTACAAGAATATAGTTTGTTTTACTCTGGGTCCCTTTTGTCAGAACAAATTTTTCACAAGCACTGGCTTCAGTGAAAGGGCACTGAGATGATAGGTCCAAAGTAGCTGATCTGAGATTATTTTAAGGTAAACAAAGGATTGTCAGTGGTTACATGCTTGAAATGTTTCTGACTTTGACTCTTGACTAGCAGCATCAGAAAATGACTATTAATAGAAGTTTGTACATGAATTTAGATATGATAAAAGTTTAAGCACCCAGTAAGATTGTGACAGTAGCCCCAAAAGCTCTGGCAAGAGGTTACTGGATAACAAAAAGGAAAGAGTGAATATTCTTTAGATAGTTGACTATTTCATAGAACACAGTGATGGAAAACAGAGGAATGCTTCTGTTTGGGTTTGGCAGAATATGTGGTTTACAGTGCTCTTCCTTGAAAATAGTAATCTTTTCTAAATGCCAGTTGTTGGCTGCACACCAGTTGTATATTATGTGATACGGTGTTTGTTTACATCCTCTTGTTCCTGTTATTATCTTCCTCTTCTTTTTATTCTCTTTGATATTTGTTTGGCCAGTGTGGAGTCTGTCTCTAGTTGGATTATATCCCTTTTAATATGGATTTGTGCACATTCAAGTGTAAAATATCTGTTCATCTGTCTCCAGGTGAATCATGAGCAACAGCTACAGCGTCACTCTGGCTGGCCCTGCCCCCTGGGGCTTTAGACTGCAAGGAGGGAAGGACTTCTGTCTGCCCCTCACCATCTCACGGGTGAGTGGAACACACACACACACACACAAAACTTATGTACCCTTCACTCCATGGCAGTCACCTCTGAGGAATGCTCACTATGCCATTTGCCTTGTCAGTGATGAAAGTGTGTATGCTGTTAATTTCCTGTGTCACACTCTTTGCTGGATTTAGCCACCTTCTCTAACAGTTCACGGCCCCTGTCACTCCCACAAGGTCTTGACCTACCTCCTGCCAAGGCTATGACTATTGTCATAATAATGTTACATAACTGGACCAAAACCACAACATCCTTCAATTTAGAAGATCCCCCTTTTTCTCTGACGCCCATCTGAGATATATTTGAGGGATTAAGCCGATAGCTGTTAACGACTGCTGTCATTTGCTCATTCAGATGAGGGCTAGTGCTAAGTGTCCTGGCATTTGTCCCTGGCGATAGTCTTGATGCGAGGTACAGGAAACTATGTGTACTGGGTCTGCAGTGGAAGCATCAGAACCTGTCCTTAAACGGCCCATCTGACTGAAACTCTAGACGGCCACAGTGGTTCTGTAATAACTATTTGGGACTTTGGGCCACATAAACTCAAACTGGGATTTGGCTCTAGCTGATCAAGTTCTGTTGAGGCCTCATCTGGGTGAAAGGCTGTCGGAGGGCCTGCTTTTTTAAACAACAGGGCTGGTTTATGACACAGGTCCAGCCTCAGCATATACATAGTCACACTGTTTATATTCATGGTGTAAGGGGCTTCTGTGCAAAACACTGCGATTGATGCATAATTAAAAGAAGTCAGTGCAGCTTACTGTTGGTCTGTCACAGTCTTTTACAACCCGTGGGTATCTGGAGTGTCTCAATAGTACTAACATTTCTTCTTGTTAAATAGGATTAAAAGTAGGCAGCTTGTCTCTACAACATATCTGGCTGCTGCAGAATGAGCAGTGTTATTCAGTTCCTGCTGCTTCCTGTTATGTAACTGTAATCTCATTGTCTTGACCAACCAGCCGTCTGTTTATTTGTTGTTGGCAGGATCACTTACACAATTTTGAATGTTGGAGAGCAGTGACTTTTCTCAAGAAGCAATATGACCATATGACATAGTTACTCTAAGAGTATCAAAGGCCAGCATAGCTGCTTAGGCTATTTTTATCCCTTGCCGCTATGATAATAATGGATTGCAGGACATTATGTTGTTATAGTGGCATGTAGCTGTCAGCAGACATCTTGTCAACGTATCTCAAAAACAATACATGATGAAGCACCTCCACACTTGTCACCTGATTATACAGTAATGCGGAGCACCTTCATGTATAATAATATATATAAAAAAAGAAAAATTGCAAGCATTTCCAGAGAGGAAAAGATAAACAAAATCAGCATCAAATTGGCCATTTGCCTTTCCCATTCAAATTTAGCAGCAGCTGTTGAAAAAAACACAAGGCGAACATCTGTTCAAAATACCCCTCCCATTTTCAAGCGCCCAGTGCAGTTTCACTTTGAATTGTCAAGGGCCTGAGACTACAAGGGTACACTGACCTTAGTGTCACATTGCATTTTTACTATTCAAACTTGAATATGTACTTATCTTGACGAGAGGTTCACCGTTCTGTCGATATGGTGCAGTATGCACACTCAACTGTATAACACTCGCAGGAAAAATGAAAGCAGATGGGCACCTGACCCCTGACTGTGATATTTGTAGCATATATGTGTCAAGTCATGTTTTCACTAAAGAGTTTAAAATAAAATGAGACAGGTGAGTTGCAAGAGGTGTCAAAAAAACAGACAGAAGCTTTGCATCTGTTAAAATCACAAGTGGTAGTTTTGATCATTTCCACTCTATGGACCATCAGTGTCCACCAACAGTCCTGTGTTGAGTCATTGCACTGCTGAGCCAGGCAACATGACTCTCGCAGCTATTCATTCCATCACATTATAGGCTAGTGCCTTTCCTGTGGCAAATTTTCATGCCAGCGCATGATCAGTAAATGGCACCATAAATGGCTCAGATTTCTTGTTATTGTCCAGGTGCCAGGGATAAGTCTCCCTTTTGTCCATTTATCTTCCAAAACCTAATGTCACATAAGGCACAGCCATCATAACACATGCTGGACACGTTCTCTTTATGTTGTGGTAAAGCTGTATCCATTTTGATACTTACATTTTCTTAAATCTGATAACTGTCAGATCTATCAGTACTCCATCTAAATAATCTGTAATGATCACTATATCTGTAATCTAAATTAAAAGGAGTAACTGTATTTACAAAAGGGAGGAGTAAGTGAGTAGAAGGTACATACATGGATACATCTGCCAACACTTAAACCAGTTCCTTCATTACATGAGTGATGAGAAAATTGTGTAGACCATTGACCTATTTTAAGGTTCATTAGAGACCCACAATGCTAAATAGACTGACTTTTCAGTAAAATATGCATCTGTTGCTATCACACTAATGCTTATATTTATTTTTGCTTAGATCGATGTAATTACTATGGAATAATAACTTAATGACTTTACACGTGCTTACCATATGTAACTGATCCAAAAATTACATACAGCACATTACAGTATGAGGCTGGTTGCATATAAGTCAACCACAGCCTGTCATTCTGAAGCCTTTTAGAAATATTTGGCTTTGGCCTTACAGTAACACTACATCTAAGAAAGAGATGGAGTGTATATATCATAATGTATTGTGTTATATTGAGCTGGGTTTCATGCTGTGTACAGCAAAATTAACTTGTAAAAGTCATCATACCACCCACAATGTAGGGCCTCAGAAATGATGAATTAACACTAGAGTTTCTTTCAGTGAATTGTTAATCGCAGGGATGTTGAATTGTATTGTATCATATTTTATACAGCTGGTGCTTATGAATTTCAATTTTAATTATGTAGTGCCAGTTCATAACAGATATTATCTCATTGAACTTTTCAGAGAGCAGGTCTAGACCGAACTCTGTGAAAAGTGAGTTTGGTGCCTCTCAAAGAAGAGGAATGTGATGATGTAGTGTATCTTGGCAACCCACACCAACATTAAGGGTAAATGGGATTCTTTGTGCATTCGTTTTAAGAGAATTGAGCTGGATAGCCCCACATTGGTTAGCTGGCAAATATTATGAGATAAATTATAATAATAACAATAATGTTAGATGTTTATTGTGGTATCATATATTTTGCTGTAAACTGTAAATACGTGTCATAAAAGAAATGAAATGAAAACTATGATTCAGTTGGTGCTTGTTAATGGCATGAGTATGAGACTGAGACAGCTGTTGTTCTTTCTACTTTCTCCAAGTATTGTGAATTTAATTTAGTTTGCAACACCCTTCGCTGTGCTCATGGATCTGAATGTGAACCTATCCTTTACTCACCAGTTCTTTTTCTTTTTTCTGAACATGTTATGGCACATTGAATCCAGCATGTGCTAAACTTGTACGGCTGAGCAAACCTGCAGATTAGTTTCTGCTAATTGCTAGGTCTGTTTCTGTTTACTATTATTATTATTACTAGTTTAAAAAGTACAATCAAGTGAGAATAACCTCCAGTGACATTCAGCTAATTCTGAATACAATAGTTATGATTTCACAACTAAAATATCAGAAGAACAGATTAATGGGTATTGACTTATTTGGTTTCATAATCAGGTTATTCTAATGGTAAGAAAAAGTTAGTGTTGAGTATAAAAATGAGTACAATATGTGGTAGCAAGTGCTGATGTGAAAGTTGTAGCATCCCTGCCATTAGAGGAACTCTGTCTGTATTTTTGTCATTGATTTACAATGAATACAGACAGTCTGAATCTTGTGTAGCTCATTGGATAAATAATATTCTGGCTTGCTCTGTCTGACAATGAGACATAACTTTTGTTTCAGTTCAGATCCAGAAAAAATGAAATCAAGCAGTGAAGAAGTCTCCTGGCATTAGGGGAAAACATTGAGACAGATAGCTTGCGATCAGTGCTGCATAGCTGCCAAACTGTTTGTCTGTATTTTTATCTGTCTCTTGTTTTAAAATATCTTGAGTATTTTACACGGACACTGGAATTTAATAAAAACCAGTTAAGTCCATCCAGTATTTCACAGCTTAACGTTTGACTTCACACAGCATATTTAATAATCTATGGTTCTATGCAGGGTCTTAAAGATGTGTTCAGGTTACACATGGGTTTAGTAGAAAACTGTTATCTGCAGTATGTGTTTGATCCCAGTATGATCTCCCTGGTGTCTGTCAAGAGTTGTATTGAGGGCATCTGCTTTTAATATCCCTAATGCTATATGGTAGAGCTATAAAGAATAACCAAGCTGTCACTTTGATTTTGATTCACACTCACGCTTTATTCTTTTTGCTGTGATGAAAAATATTTAAAGGAACAATGCACATTTTCTCTGTTTGGGAAAACGGAGAAATGATCCCATGCTTAAAGGTTAGTTTGATTAAAGGTATCAAGATAGTCACTCATGCTTGATAACAGGCATCCCATGTTATAAAGCATTAAGTGTTTTGCAGAACTCTCTGGATTAAGGTGCAATATAAATGCAGTCCATGGAAAATCGCACTTGGCTCAGGCCCCCGCCATGGCTAAAAGCCTTTTCATATCATCAGCCTCAGCAGCGCTAGTCGGGCCGGGTTTGTTTCTGACCTGACTGAAGAGCATTCAGTATTCAGTGTTGGGCTTGGTACTACTTTGTGCTGTTTTGTTTGCGTTGTCATGGCGATTTGACTAAGAGCTCGTATGTAGGTCCGCTTGGCATCTTGTGTTTTCCACCAGCCTGATTGATGTAGTAAGAGACTGGGGTCAAACCATGACGACCATGGGTCTACCTCTGTTCAAGTGCCCTTATTGGGGATGTTTGGCTTGGCTTGCTGTTTGGTCTCCTCCCAATCGCTGTAGGGTTTGCTGCTGTACTTCTCATCTTTAACATTGAACAGTTTGCGCAAGGTGTTATAGGTGTGCAAGGGTAAAAGAGAGGACTTTTCTTGACAGGAAACTGTACTTTATGGCCTCTGCCTGTGCTAGCCCAGCATGTTGCTGTGGGCTGTACTGTCGGATTCATCCATAATTCTATAGGCTAAACTGTTCCTTTTTGCTGAGCTTTACAGGTTGAATGTGTGCAGGAACCACATTCTTGACTCCTGAAAAGGGAACACAATGTGTTGTGTGATGAGGTTCAAAATTAAGAGACAACATTTTAAAGTAATCAGTCAGGTTTTCAGACACTTTGAATTCATTGGATAAAAAACAAAACACAAACAAAACTCACACTGTAACTTATAACTGAAGCAAGTTAGTCTAAGGCAAATTTATAATTACATAGTAAGAGCGAGTCAATCTGCTTTAGCCTTGTGTGTGATGGCATAATGTTAGGTCCAAGTCTTTTCCATATAAGGCCCTCCATCTTAGTCTACCCTACAAAGACATGACATGCATCTCACAGGCCTTCAGTCCTCACCACAAGACACTTCCTGTAACATGACTTCTCAAATGTGAAAAAGACCACAGCCCTCCTTCCTTCCTTGCTTCCTTACTCCATAATTTAACTGAAGGCAGGAAGGTACACCAGCATGGAAGATAATTAGTATCCCACTTGTGCTGAAGTGTTATCTTAACACCGTGTGTCACTTTACCTTGAATGTGTCTGTTTTTTTGTTTTTTAATCTGTTTTGAAATCCAGTGTATTAGAAGAAGACATACTTATATTATCCAGCAAGGGGAAACTCAATGTTTTTTTAGGGGGGGGGGGGTTGGTAGCAGCTTACTCCATAGAACAGAGACTGGATAGGCACTGTATGTCATAATTCTCGCCTTAACAAAGCCGCTTTCTCTCCACACAGCATCTCTTTGTCTTGTTTTCACCAATAATGAATTTTATAGAATACTTTATTTTCTTTGTTAATTTATTGCCTTATTAAGGATCAGTTAATTCCTGAGTCTATTCTTTTATGTATTTGATTCCGTCTGTATAACCGATGGATTGAAGACACATGGAAGCAATGGACTGGAATTGTTCTAGGCTTCTGCTCCACGTTTTGTTTTTGTTTTTAGAATTAGTCTGGTACAAAATCCCTCTTCATCTCATTACAGTGAGGTGAAGATGAAGTTTTTCCACAAATACATTTGTACCACAAATAAATTAAGGGTCTTTTTACCTAGTAATGTCATAAGTGTACTATTGGATATGCCATAAACCCTCAGGCAGAGCCGCCAAGTATTGTGCAATAAACTTTGTTCAAGCTACAGTTGTAGGAGCAGATGCACTTACATGTGTAGTGTGGAACAACTAGTCATTACCAGAAACTGCACAGAAGTAAAATCAGCAGTGTGGAGAGGAACACAGCAGCACAGCAGCCACACCATTATGTGGCTGGAATCCCATTCATGTAAATGCAGTTGGAAAGACCCTTAATTGGAAAGATCCATCTGCCAAATGACCACACAGCCCTAGCCCTAGGTAGTTGCAATTTTACTCTTTAAAATCAACTTTTTTAATGTATACTGTGTGAAACTGCCTTGGATTACTTCTTCTAATTGACCTAGCAAACGCCAATAGTATGTGGTAAAAACATGTTGCTAAAACATCCTGCTCTCTTGAGAAAGCCTGAGTAGAACAGCCAAAGTTCCAGTTCATTACTTATCTGCTCTCCGTCACGAGTGCTTCAGACCTCTCTTGATTTTTATTTATAGACTGCGGATGCCAGGGATTCTTACTGTAACATCTATTTGTTTTTTAACCATGTGACAGAGACAGCTTTTGACTGAAAGAAGTTGGTATTTATAAAGTGCTCTCTGTTCATCACAGACTGAAGCATTAAACATTGTTAGCCACATATAAAAAACACACATTTTCTAAGTATGTTACAAGAGTACAAGACTCCTCTCTTCAAGCCTTGAAATAGTATGTGTTTGAGGAATTACCATATATAGAGCTGTATGGTATTGTCTTTTCTCACGTCCCTACAAGGAGAGAACTTCAGATCTGTTTTTCACTCTCTTTCTTCCTCTCTAACAAATACAAACACATAAAGGCAGGCAGAGGCCGGGAGACACAGGGAGACAGAGAGGAAAAATTCATGTCGCCGGAATGCATTCATTCGACAATCCTTCAGCTTTTTTTCTGCCATTGACCTCTGGAGCTGTCTAGTAGAGTAAGACAGAGCCAGCAGATGCCAGCGATCTCTGAAGAGTGCTTATACTTGTATTAGCCTCTGCTTTGAAGAGCAATGACTTATTTTATTGAAAGTAAATGAGTCAGGATAAACTAAATGCTGGCAGGTGTGACTGTGACATCTGTGCCGGACACTGAGTGAGCAAGTGAGTCATTTGAAGCTGTGTTAATGGCTGCATAGTTAGTACCCTGCCCTTTGTGAGTAACACTAAGCATGTGGCTGCACTATAGGTTTCCAAGAAGTTGGTATGCATAAATCAGCCTCAGCTAGGCATTCAACGCTTCCGGCTACTGATCTACTTGATAATGACACAAGGGAAGCACGGCTCCAGAGAAAATGTGTCGGCCACTGTCACTTCCTCATTCTTTCTCTCCCTCCCTCCCACTCTTTCCCCCTATTGTATTATGAGGGTTAACACAATGGCACATTATTTATGTCTCGTTGGCTCCTTTTTTAAACCAGGGGAAAGTCTTATAGAGTTACCTAAACTGAATGCATTCTTTAGCAGTGGGGAAGAGAGTGGGGATTTCTAGATGGCAGTGTTGGAGCATTTAACTATTTACATTTAAGTTCCAATTTTATAATCAACACTCAGCAGAGTTGACAGGTTATTTTCCTCCAATCATGCTTCACACCCTCTTCATTTCACTTTTCAGTCTCTCAACACATTTACCTCACCTGAGTTTCTACTCTATTTTGCTAAAATATTTGAAGCTTCAGGCAACACAGGCTTTGCTCTTTCACACTGCTGAGAGATGACATGGAGATTATGATCATAACAAAGCCAGCATACGATTATATGTACACAGTGTTCCTTTTTTGTTTTACAGGTTCTGAGTGTGTTAGCAGTGTGTTGAGTAATTGATGAGCTGTGCATAGCCTTGTGTAAAGCACACCTGGTAGAGAGTCATCCCATCGTCATGATTTTTGTTACTTCCCGTGTGTTAAATGCAAGTCTCAGCGCGGTGGAAAGGGATACCTGATAAACCTGAACCCCACCTTTCGCTACTCAAAGACAGCTGTAAAGCTTTTAAGCCATTGCTTCCATACTTGGAGTCAAAGCTACGAAGTATTAAATGCTGCTACAAGTATTAAGCTTTTCCTCACTTTTCATGTGCTTTGGAAAATATGAGACAAACCCTTTAATTATGTATTGTAAGTTAAAACGAATAGTATGGACATGTTTTGAGTTTGAAATACAGAAATACCAGTTTAACATAGTTTTATATAGCATGTACTCGATATACAAAGGCTTAGAATGTGCAGGAAAAACATGAATTTGTGAGATCAGACAAAAATGGTACTAATTGGGAGGAAGAGGTGGAGCTAAATACATCAAGCTCCTAAAGGAAAACTTTCAGCATGACTGCAACAGATGAGGCAAACAGCAGAGAAAATCAAGGAGTGACTTTAAGCCTCTGAATGTCCTTAAGAGAACCAGCAAAAGCAAGAACTAAAGATTAAAATTTACCAACCTTCAGTATGATATTTACTCTGACAGAACTTCGGAGGATCAGCAAGGAAGATTTGGAGAGACTTACATTTCCCAAATGCAATTTTTAGAGGCATAACACCACCTGGTGCTGTAATCATTGGCATTGGTGCTCTTTAAAGTACTGAATACAGCATCTAAATATATGTGTAAATTAGAAATTTCAGATTTTGATTTTTGAAATACATAGAGCTCAGTTGTCTTAATTGAAATTCAATTAAGTGAGTCATAATTGTGGGGATGCTTGAGCTTGTTTAATGTGCAGATTGTTTTGGTGGGTGTAGAATCCTGTCCCATGGTTGTTGTAATGTTGTGAAGAGAATAAGATGCCTATCTTATCTGACAAAGGTTACATAAGACAGGAAACAGAAAGGAGAGCCCAATTCTTGCACAACCAAGAAGTACATCAACGCAATATGCATTCACAACATGTTTAATTATTTGAGTTTCTTTTGTACAATTTTAAACTGCAGTTGCAAACCATAAAGTTCCAAATGCTACCACAGATCATTCTTAAATAAAGCGCAAGAGACGGGGTTGATGCGACTAAATTCTTTGTGAAAACTCCTCCTTGCTTGTATGTCCAGGATGAACTTTTTTTGTGTATGTCATTGCAGCTCACTGATGGAGGCAAGGCAGTCAAAGCAAACATGAATGTTGGAGACATCATTCTGTCCATTGATGGCATTTCCACAGACCGGATGAATCACCTAGAGGCCCAGAACAAGATTAAGGCCTGCACAGGCAATCTCAGCCTCACTCTACAGAGGTAACAGTTGCACACATGAGCACTCATTTACTACAGCATTATCTGCATTGTCCTTGCCTACCAGTGTTTAATTAAGCCTGTGTGAAGAATTCGCGCAGAGCCAAGAGCTACCATATGTATCTGAAGCTACTTTTCACAGGACAGTGAACAGATGAACAAAATGTTCTTTAATTGGCAATTGGAAGCTTGATTGCCATATTAAGTTTATTTGTGCTGTATCCAAGTTGCCTTTTCATTATTTGGAACAGATGAACTCCAGGGAGTTTGGGAATGTTTAAAAGACTGCTTAATGTCTCTTGCACAGTAGCATTGATTTATGTACCTTGTCATCTGCAGTATAATTGGAGTACATAGGCTAGCATGATATTGGATTTATAGTGATTCCTTTGTGTTAAGAAATGTTTATTTTAACACAAAGCAATGGTACAATTTACAGTGTAGCATCACATTTCAGACTTTATTAAACACATTTAATGCAAGTTAATAGAATTGAGGGTTAAGTCCTAGTTCCACTATTGGCCCAGAAATCCTGTGGCTGGATCTCCACCAAGGACATGTCCTAAAGAGTAGACTTAAACACATCAGAAACTATATTGCATATCAATGCTACACAGCTCTCTAACTATTGGTTTACATGTGTTTTTGCTGACTGTGTTGTGTATGGCACAAAATCTGTAAAAGTCATAAAATCAAAGTTTTGGTTTGATCAAGCTGAGTTCATCAACTACTCCTCTGCTTCTTTCATTAGACAAAAGCAAGACCCTGGTATTCTGGTGCTCTGGAGTGTATTAAAGCCCAAGTGCAGTATTGGGAGCAACTTTAAATGAAAACCCTCCTCATATAGCCCTCTGTAAAGCCCTCTCCTTAATACATCCCTCAAACCAAAGAAAACAAGGATTCAACTGAGGTCCACCAAGGAAAAGTTTCAGTCCAAACACCATTTATAGTCCATCTGCAAGAAGGCCCAGGTTTCACTCACAGGGACACTTTGAGTTAGTTTTGTAATACAAAGAAGTAACTCAAACTTAACACTACTTTTTGCAGGCAGCACTGAATGTCAAAGATCAGTTTACCTATCTCAGATCTTGCCTCCTTTTATTTGACCATGAATGAATGAATGAATGAATGGATCAATCAATCAAATTCAATTTAAATAAATGAAAAAGAAAAAGAGTGATCCCTTGTAAGGAATTTTAGCTGAGCACTTTAGCCAAACACAGTTAATTTTCTACAGCCAAGTATAAACAAGAGTCGCTTTAGTGTCAGACACAAACAAATGAAGGCAAAGCACGCACACTTCCCAAGCTGTAAAACATGTTGACAGAAAAACTCAAAGCCTGGTTTGCATGTCCTGTCATTCCATCGCCACATCAAAGGAGAAAGGAGCCTCTTTGCTTTAATCGTGGGAAAATAGTCCTAAAATAGCCTCGTGGCACAGCTGCATGTAATCTACTGTGGGTAATGGATGCTCATTGAAACATCAAACATTCTGGTCTCACAGCACATGTAAACTACAACAATGGTTTCCTCGTTACAAATGATTGTTGTTTGCTTAATTAAAATTTTTGTTTTTGTGCATTTTTAGAAAACGGTTTATACGGTGTTGATAAGTGACAGAATAATTTTAGAGAGTATTTTTAGAAATGGGCCCTTTTTACTAATTAAATATATTATATTACTCTGACCTTTTATGCTATTGTCATAAAGTACCTAACAATTCTTTCTGTCATGTACTAGAGGACTGCATTGGGACGCAACTCTTGTGGGAGCGGGTGGTTTAAACTTTGTAGAGCACAATTTAGCGCTGAATAGAAGGATGGCGACAACAAACGAAGTTGAAACGAAGACCAAAGCAATATACAGTATAAAAGCAAAGCAATATATTAACCACAATACTTTTTGATAAATTAAAGTAGAGGAGTACATAATATGACTACGTTCTTGAGTGGGATGGAACACACACATTGCGGGAACGGGTAGTAATGGTCAGAAATCCAGTGGGAGCGAGATTGAGAAAACAGTCCCGCTCAGGGCTCTATGATATACCACTCTCTCTCTGCATGTTCTCAGATTTGATTTATGGTTTCGATTGTCACTGATAAGACTATCGAGGTCATAATAACATTCCAAGAGATGATTAATGTGACTACAGTTTAGTACCATTACATCACTTTGTCACAGCTCAAATTATCGGGGCTGTTCCTTAAAAAGACACTAATGCATCTAAACCTATATGGTGCAGCTGTGTAAAAATAACATCTGATTTTTAGCCTACTTATTTAAAAAGTTCACAGAAACAGAACATGTATATAAGCACAAACACAAAAATTTCACTATCAAGGGCTAGATAATGAAATCTAAATGTGCTTTAATCAAACTGGAATCACACATTAAATAACATTTAATGCAAAAAAATACCAACAGCTGTACATTAACTAGCGTAAATAAAATAGAAGTACAAAATGACTGTCACACACTGTCAGATACCATATTTCAAATAGCTAGAAATGCTGTAATATACAAAAAAACATCCAATTTACACCATTTCAGTATTGCATACCAAGCAATGCCAGACAGGCACTCGTGGTCATTGATGCCAATGTGTTTAAGTTATTTCCCTGTTGCTAGGTGAGGGGAAACATGTTTTCATCAGGGAGGAAATGGACTTTGACCCTCCTCATCCTCTCGCTCCACTACCCAGTAAACTGTAAAAAGAAAGTCAAGAAGAGTCTGAATGAGCAAAGAGCTGCGATGTGTGTTGTGACAGAAGGAGAAACAAGGTTTTTCCTTCCAAGACTGTGGTGTCAGGAAAAGATGTAATTCGTTGCAATGTTGGTTTCGATAGACGATGTCATTAACAACAAGCCTCCTCCATCTACTCTTCAGCTACTGCCGTGAAGAGTAGATCACAGGTGGAACAATTGGAGTTGTGTTTTGGGTTTTTTGGGCAATACTGCTGACTAAGAAAGGCCAGAGTAGACACATACAGGCAGAGAGAAACAGAAAGGGGTGAGGCAAGCAGGTATGTGCAGTAAGAGATAGAGGTGTAGGGAAAAGCAAGGTCAGCAGAATTACATTAGTTTGTGAATAAACACTAAAATAATTTTGAGACTTCAGTAGAATTAAATGTTGAAATAATAAATACCACCGTCACTACTATATGTGGGAAACAATGACACCTTATCACCTTTCAATTTTAATAGTTAATGTAAAATGTTGGTAAAAAGTAAATCGAAGGCCTTAAATAGACCCCATGATAGGTGATTGTTGCCGGTTGATACTACTTCCAGTGTTTGGTAATCAGTAGTCTTCTGTGAATTTTCTGAGTGCTTTTTGTTCTACTGTCATGTGAATTTTGTTGCTGAGGAGCTAACAGTCAGTTACAACAGGCAGCCTGTGGGAAGTATCCTTTGGAAAGTATGATAATTGATGTTTATTTATTGTCATTGAAATATGTTGCACAGCACAATGAAACACCACTCCAGAGAGTTTGTGGCTGGCTGCACCTTGTTCCAAAACCTCAAAGATAATACAGATCGACACTGCTAACTCTGCGATGCAACCATTTTTGTTTATATTTTACACAAGAATTCATGTCGGCTCCCACAGCACAGGAGTGTTTCATATTTTGTGTATTTTCCACGTTGTGTGCATATTTATGTGCCACAGAACACATGCTGTTTCTGGGAGACACACACGCGCAGACACTACTGTAGCTGCAGTATATGATACAGATGGGGGTTTTTTTGCCCACGGGCCACTTACTATAGCCAAACATGAGTCAGATAGGCGGCTGTAGGTTAAATCTACATATATTCTCATTTATGGCCAATGTACACCCAAAAAGTCTTGTGAAATGGTTATAACAAGGTGAAGTAGGGGACAATCCAATGTAGCCCAGAGCCCCCGCTGACTCCTGGCTGCCTTAGCCAGATGTGGTGTGGTGGTTGGAAGAAAAGTAAGAAAGGATAGTGGGCTTGTTATTACATTGCTTGGACCTGCATTAAGAAGAAACATTTGTTTGTTCAGTTTGTTCTGTTGTTGTTGCTGTGTTCAGAGATCCTCAAGGAGAACTACCCGCTTTGTTCATTGAGCTGGTTTTAATGTGGGTTTGATTAGGAATTAATTAATGAATAGTTTATTTCGGTTTAAAGTATTATGAACAAAGCATGACAATTTGTGTGAATATGAAATGAAAAGAAGTAGTATACATGTTTACTAAATACAATTAAATGCAAATCAGAATATTTAACTTTTATTCCACGTTTTGCTTGCCAAGAAAAGCACACATGACCAGAGCATCACTCACACAGTAAAGCGCTGTAGAGGGGCATGACAAGGCACATGAAAGGAATGGCAGGAACACTCTTCATCACATGACTGCTGATACGGACAAGCGCACCAGGTTCCTACTTGGCGTGAGTGCAAACACATCAGACATGGGCAATAACCATGTTAGTGAAGTATCCAGGCAAGTGATAGCAGCAACATGCCGGCCAGTAACATGTTAATAAGCTTTAACTCTGGGAATAGAAGTCACATTTCTGTCATAGTTTGTGTAGGGGAAGGAAAATGTTTTCTTCTTACACTTATAATCTTTTATGCAAGTACTTTATAAGAGTGCTTTTTCCTCCTTTTATTATGTCTTATATATTGTTTTAAATCTTTAACCTGTTCTCTTTTTATTGTTCTTGTTATTCAAGTCTGTCCACATGTGTGGGGTTTAGGTCAGGGATGTGGGGTTGTTGTTTGTGTTTTCTCACTAGCTGTTCTTCTCCTTCCTTGACTGGGACCAGTCAAGGATCGTTTGTTCCCCAAAACATAGATACTCAGACTGTGTAAATGATCATGCAGACCTTTGCTCTGGGCCAGACGTTAGTGACTGTCTTAGGAGCCAGAATCTCTGGTCCAGCTGATTTTGTTGTAGTACTTCTCTGTTTATTCTCTTTTGTTAAATTCTTCAAAGACAACGGTTCGTTGTAACTCAATTATTTGCCTAACCTCTTACCAGGAATATAATTTCCACGACAGTTTGCACTTGTAGTTTTAAATCTCTGCCCTTCTTAAAACCTTTTGTTCGGACTCCTTCTAAAGAAATGTCCTTGTGTGCTCTACTTTAAAGCAGAAAATTCCCTCTTCCAAGATTCTCATTTTTGGTGAAATATGAGGGAGCGGTGAGAAAAAGAAAGGAGCCATGGAGAGACAGGACAGGCCGTGTGCCAGACACAAGCTGTGAGTTTTGCCACAGAGCGGATAGGCTGGCTGCACAGAAAAACAGAAATACAGAAAGAAAAGTTATTTTCCACACCCACTAATTCCACATCCCTCTGTTGGAGTTTTTGATTTGCTTTCCTATGTTTTTTTTTCTCCATGTTTTCCCTCTTCTCCATGCTTTGGCGCAAATGTTCATGCAGCGGTAAATCTGAGAAAACGGATCCCAGTTTTAACATTTATTACACACATTAAATGTAAGAGGGGAGAACTTGTTCAACAAGGTTTTGGAATAATGTAACCTGTGCGTGACATTAATAGCGTGTGTGAATTCTACTCATCTCCATCCTCCCACATATCGTAGAAGATCCGTAAGAAGTTCCTGCTCCCAGCCTGCTTTAATGTGATCTGAGTAAACTAGAGTATAAAGCAACAGATGCTTGGAGTCAGAGGGTTACTACAAGAGATCATTAAAGATGTTTCTATGGAATCTGCAGTTTTCTGCTTCAGTAACTGCGTGTGAAGTGAAAACAACAGGGGGAAAATTGTGTGCAGTTTGCCCTCCATGTTAAAAAATGGATTATGTGAGTTTTTAAACTGTTAAGGAGTGTATGTTGAGAAAGCTGTGTCTATTAGCCTCTCCATCATTCAGTCAAATGCCATATGCCAGACTGTTTCACTTGGCCCTCATTGAGACACGGGCAGTGTGGAAATGCGTCAGCCTGCTTTACCCTCCGGCTCATTGCTCCGGTTAACCTCCTCATTCTCTTATTCTGGAGCTGTGTGTGTGTGTGTGTGTGTGTGTGTGTGTGTGTGCGCACAGACAAGTCTCCTTTTGATGAAAACCACACTCAACTAAATTTTTTTTCTTCCAAGTACACTTGCAGTTTTTTAAAAAAAATCTCAGACTTATTTATTATATTTTTCTGTATATAGTCTATACATTTGGTCCACAAATAAATACTGTAGATGTTAGCATTTGTAATCCAATAAATCAATGCATCCTGAGTAAAGTCATGACTGTGTCTTCAACAGGGTCAGGCATACCAGCAAAGCAGCCTGATACACCAGATATATTACAAATATAAACATTGCCAAGATTGGAAATGCCACTGATTTAGTTTTTTTGTATTTATAATAAGTTTAGTTCAATCAACAGAGAAAGCCCATAAAATATCACATTGTACATCCTATGTCCTGTCCTTATGTCCTATGCGATCATGGCTTTTCTCAGTGACCTTCTAGCCGTTTTAATTGCCCTGAGAATAAAAGTTAATGCATGAAACATAAATAATGCTGCATTACAGAATTGATGGCAGCAGACAGACCAGTTAGTGTAATAATAATGCATAATAGTAATTAGTGACAATGAGATTAACCATGTATATGTACACTTGGACACCAGCTTTTGTCTCTTTGTCATAGCAGAACAAAAGTAGGTCCGGCTAGGCAGGGAGCAGGACAGCACAGAGGGGCTGAGCCGAGCAGATGTTCACAGGACCACCCTAGCAAGTGTTTGCTCAGTCCGCTCTGGGGAAAACACATATAGCGAGTGAATCCGCCCAAATACCCCACTCTGGTCCTCCAATGGCAGATACACACTGCATCATTGTAGAGTGGGTCCTATTTGTAATGGAATGTGCTGTTTGATCTTTAGACCTTTTGCTGTTTTCCTTGGCACAGCGGTGCTGTTTCTCCATAAGCACATCCAATAATACAAGTACATTGGAAAATAAGCATACTCTATATTAACTGCTAAGTGGAAACTGTAAATGCAAGTATGGGCACAGATGACATCAACATCTGGTTGAAGGGTGGGGTTCTTTAATTACACCGGTGGCAGGCTCAGTTGTTGTGCCTCTGCTCAGTCAGAAAGGAAATACCTTAGATTTTGTTGACTGTTGACCTAATATGGCAGAGAAAGGAAGGACGGCAGCGGAAATAGTATAGCTCCTGGTCCGGAACCAGCCTTGCTGACTCACTGTCTGCTTTTTTTGTACTTTGTTTTTTATGAGGAATTTGGGATGCATTGTCTGCATGTCCGGACTAAATTTAGGAAACATTGTTAACGAAGGCATGTGTCTGCATTTCAGTTTGAAGGCTTCACTAGTGGAAAACTTTTAAGACAATTAAGTTATCTAACAGGGACTTGCATGACTTACTTGTGTGACATGAAGGGGGGTATATGGTGAATTGCACTGATTTGCATTAATACACAATACGTAGTAAAGTGTGTGTGCGTGTGTGTTTTTTAAATGTGAATATTGTGGTAGACAGTAGAAAAGTAGGAGATGAAAGTTTTGTGGGATATTTTCTGGGTTTTATCTTTAGAGAACAGACCGCTCTCCTCTCCCATAGGTGATAAAACTGTGAAAGCTGCTTCAGTCATGTGTACTTTTTGGGATGTTTTGAGGATATGACATTCAGGATACAATCATGTATATCTGAGGATAAAAAGAGAAGAAACTTGAACAAATCAACTTTGTGAATGAAAATTCTTCTAGAATAGAATAATAAGACCAGGGTGTGGCCAAGAAAAGTTTTACTTCGTAAGTGACAGGTTATATACTGGAAAATGTCACCATCTCAGAAATGTTTCCCTGAAAGCTACACAGCAGAGGACACTAAATAATCTGACCCTTTGTCGATGCTTCCTAGAAAGTGAAGTTTGATTCTCACAGCAGATGGCATGTCCAGTCTTTAAATGTACAGAAAATAAACTTTATTGCAAAATGATGAATGGCTGCTGTAAAGACATTGTGTTTATAATTTTTGTTTCTGCCTTCACAGACCCTCCAGTGCCCCTAAAGATGTAGTGCCTAAGGTAAGAAGGAAAATATTCACGTAAAAACGGTATGTTATGTTGTAAATAAATAAATAAATAAATGAAAATATAAACCAGTGTATTAAAAGTGAGCATGCTTATTGTGCCCTTCTGAGATTATGTCAGAATGCAGATTGTTTTGGTGTGCATAACTGCCCTGTGAGGCCACATTTTATAGCACCTCTTAAACTTGTATGGCACAAGCATACAGCAGCGTGAAACACAGCTAACATTGATGTGATTGCTGTGCAGTTTTTCTGGGAATGCTGGTTTACATGCATGAGTTGATTGTGGATTTGTTGTGTGTGCATGCTGTGTGTCCACCTTTATCCAGGACCAACCTCAAGAAATCATTAAGCCTGTCCCAATCACTCACCCTGCCCCAAGCACCACATACACCAAGCCACTGAGTCAGCCCAGTCCTGCATACAACAAGACAGCCCGACCTTTTGGTGGGGAAAGCAGTGTGGTCACAGCTTCTTCCTCACCGGCTGCCCCTAAAGTAGCCTCCATTCCCTCCGAATCATCCGCTTTCACGCCAGCTGCCCCTTCTCAACCACCTGCCCCTTCTCAACCACCACAGCCTCCATTTCCACTGAAGTCGAGCCCCGCTGCCCCACACTCAGCTCCAGCAAACTCACTTCCCAGGCCCAGTCCTGGTCGCTCCGCCTTCACCTCCCCATCCGCCTCTTCCTCCTCATCCAACTCCTCCTCTCCAGCAAGAGTGACAGCCCCCTCCTCCTCTCAAGCCAAAGTGACAGCCCCCTCCTCCTCTCAAGCCAAAGTGATAGCCCCCTCCTCCTCTCAAGCCAAAGTGACAGCCCCCTCCTCCAATCCTAATGTCCCACAGCCCTCTGTCTATAACACACCTATCAACCTCTACTCCAATACCAATGCTTGTGAGGTGGCCATGGGACAGAGACGAGGTCTGTTGGAGAGCCAGGGGCTGTCAGAGCACTTCAATGGGTAGGTACCATTCATCAAATCCAGTTACCATATGTTTTCTAACATTGTCCTTTTTTTAATCTGATGAGTACAGCTGAAGTCCATAAATTGATGGAGGTGTTTGCTTTGCAGTCTACCTGAAGCAATGCATTGCAGAAAATGTGATTTTCCATTCTGCTCTACCTATATCAGCTCATGCCCAGTTTCACCCCAATATATGTCTCTTATTTGTAAAGCTAACACTGAGACAGCCCGTCATCTACGTTTTCACACAGCTGCATACAAGGAAAATCCCAGGCATGCTGCACATCTTGTTTAAATCTTCCACAGGGCATCTGGAAAGGGTCTAGACAACATTCTAACTGATGCTACCGCCTGCCTATCTATAATTGACAGTGGGTTTCGCAGCTCTGCCAAACACACAGCCTGCCCAACAGGCACTTCTGGTGTAACACTTGTTTCTAATTAGCCACAATCCTGGCAGCTCGGTGCTTCTAGGGACAAGAGACAAAGCTAAGTTTGGCTGGACCAGACTTCTTCAGCAGGGCTTGGCTCACGGGTTTTACTGAGTGAACTGAGCTAGGTTTAAGTGATTTGCCACTCATTCTTTACACTCTGTCACCTGAAAAAATAGGTCACAGAGATCTGTTTTTATTGGCTTTAAGTGAGCAAGCGGCCTCGCACTTCAACACATTTGTGAACCTACCTTTATCTGTATGTGTTTTACAAACTTAGAGAGTTAACAGAAGAGCAGTCTGTGTAGGAATGTAAAGAATTTTTTTTCAATTCTGGGTTTAATTAGATATCCTATAGGAATTGTCTAAATGTGAGAACAGAGAACAAAACTACTTAGTGTAAGACACCATGCAGATAATTGACACGTTCATAGCAAGTATAAACTCATTACAGCAGTTAATGTCTTCAGTCTCTCTGTTGCCTGAAACCTTGGGCTGTCAGCTTGTAGAGGTAGAGCGTATTAGTTGCAGCATGTGTGTGTCAGTGTCCTCACCTGCATGCTTGTGGTTTCTGTGGTTTCTCTATGCACATTCTCTCAGAAGGGCCTTTCACTGAAGGGTCTATTTCTCAAACCTCCTGTTCATGCTCCTTCTTGCCTTCAATCCTTTTCCATTTACCCCTTCTTTGCCCACAGGAGGAAGAAGAGACAGACACCAAGTTAGTGCTGTGAATGATAATATATCTGCTGCAGTAGCTTTCTAACCATGTGGAATGTGATTATAGCCTTCGCATCTCTCTGGTTTATGATTACCAACGGCATGCTTGCACCTCTTTGAGCTAACCCTCACAAACCTCACGTTCGTGCTCATCCACTCACAGGACATGCTCATTTCAAGATCTAAATAAACTGCAAAATCCTGTAAATAATCCATATCTGAATCATCACATGACATCCAGTGGGGGTCAGCTCATGCAGTTCATTCATTTTACAGCCATTGCAGTCAGGCCTGTCAGCACACAGGGCTGCTAAAGTCACCCAGCACTGCATCTGTCTGGCTCCATCTGCTACTGTTGTCAGTATGTTTACTCAAGGCTTGACAAATCACTGCCAAGCATATTCTGCTTTGGCTAAGAATAGCCTTACTCGTGCTGTCTTTGATCATCATTCGCCTCAAATCACCTGAGACACAGACGCGCGCGTGCTCATGCTGCTCATACTAGGACTTCTGACATTAAATTAACTCACAGTCTGGAACAGCACTTGAACTTAACTCTGCATGTAAACACTTAACATAAATGTTATTGCAATCTAGAGTACAATCAAAACTATTTTAGGGGAAAAGCTGATCCTTTATTTTCAAAGCAGATTACTCCCACCTTGTGGTGCTATATGGTCACTGTCACTTTCATCTCAAACACTCACTGTTGTTAATATACAGTTGGTTCTGTCATTTATTAGTACCCTTTAGACATTAAGATGATTTTTTTAAAGGAAATCGCATGTAGTTTTATTATCTGGCTGACTTCTACTCTGTGGTTTTCCTTTCTAATAGTCAGCCTCAGAGAAGTCTGAAGTAAGTCAAAACAGTTTCTTGACTTTGCCATATAAACAGTGCAGTGTCATACAGTGTACCTTGGACTTTATGTGACATTTGAATTTGTGTCCACCTTTGTGCATTTTCTCTCACTCACCTGCAGAACTCCACCTTCAGCTAGACCTAGGAGGTAAATGTGAACTCTAACAGCAGTAAAGTTATACTGCAAAACGTGTCAACAAGCTACACCCTTGTTTGAATGTGGACCACTCACTGCATAGTACAGTACATGTGTGTTACTGTGTGCTGATTGTCACTGTGAATGTTGTTTGTGAGTTTGCTAAGGTGTATAAACTGCGCTAAGTAGTAGTTGTAAAAGTAGCTTTTAGGAATGATGACCTGATAACATGTTTAAAACATGCATGTTCCCCATGTATGTAACATCATAATTTCTTGGTTAATCTGGCTGTATAGGAAACCTATTGAGGAGCCTGAGAATCATGCTTCCCCACTGAGCGATGCCAGCAAGAAGCGTCTGATTGAGGACACTGAGGACTGGCACCCCCGAACCGGCACCTCCCAGTCCCGCTCCTTCCGTATCCTGGCCCAGCTCACCGGCACTGAAAAGGGTGTGTGTAACAAGCGCAGTGAGCTTACATGGACTTAGACAGGTTATCGATGAAGACATAACACTCTGCAGGGACTTTTTTTAAATTACTGTTGTGTTGAAAGTCGCTGAATGTAATTTTAGGCTCAGCTTGGTATTGCTGTCAGTTCAATTTAGATCTAATAATCCACTTTAGGCTGTAGCACATGATGGATTTACCCAAGGTTACCAATTTTAGGGTAATCCCATTTTCTTTAGACACTTCTATATGATTTTAAATGATGTGCCTGTTTTATGATCATATTTCTTTTCATCAAAGCTGCATTGCCTCTGTAGATAACAGTGACATAGTAGTTACTTTCATCACCATATGATTTAATTTATTTTATTTCTGTTACTGTTTTGACTATAAGTGACATTGATGGTTACACGAGCAGGCTGCGGCTTTGGGCCTCCCTCCATTTGTAGAGGTTGTGTGAATGTGTGTGTGGATCTGTAAATGACATTTAGGGCAACTCACTTATTAGAATGAAGTAAGATGAGACATTTTTCTTTCTCCTTCTCTCTTTTTGTCAAATGATGTTACCAGACCGGTACGCGTTATGTGACGAGCTTTGAACATTTCATGCAAATCCAATCTGTTGTGGTTTTGCTGCAGCTGTGAACAGTTGGGGGATGGGTCCAAAGAAGTCCCATCAGGGTCTAGTTTGTAGGGATGGGACTTCTTCATGTTGTCCTTGATATGACTAGATGCACTCAGTGTAGAATCAGTTGGAGCAGCATTGTTTTTGAAATTGTGATTCCCTGTACTTTAAGTGAGCATTAATTATACATTTTACCTCATTTTCTTCTTTTTTTCCTCCCCTGTTGCAGAGCAAGTTCCAGAGAACAATGGAAAGAAGTAAGTGGTTGGTGGTTTTTGATACATTCAAATATGGTGTTTGTGAGAGTTCATTCTCTCTCTGTCTGCCTGCCTTTCTCTTGTCTGTGAGTGCATGTGTTTGAGCAATAATTTCTTGATTATAGAGGTTTCAAAATCAGAAATGGCCCTCAAAAGTACTCATGTCTATGAGCCTGTGATTCCGAGTTAAGCCCCGATTTCCTGATCTTATGGTCCCACAGTATTATGCTTAATTTAAGGCTTAATTTGGACAAACCACATTGAGAGCTCCAAGAGGAAGATGGTTGTGTGGAAACAGCCCTAGACTTAGCGCAGGCTGTGATTGCTACTGCTGTTCTCAGTCTTAAGTCGATTTAATCTGCAGTAAACAGTCTGCCCTCAGCACCGCATCCCCGACCAATCAGTGTGTCACTCATTGAAAACTGTGGGTAATTAAGTTGTATTGTGGGTAATAGCAGCCCTGCCAGAAGGAGATTCCTGCTCTCCTTCTCTTAGGGAGATTCTTTTCAGTGTACTTTTCCTAAAAAGAGGGCAGCTCTTACGCATCTGCCTCGGCTTCTAATTCAGTACACCTCTGCAAGGCAACAGTCTCTCATTTTATATTCTTCTCCAACTTTGCTATTTTATTTTTTTGATGCTATTGCAAATTTTTTCTCATTGATCCATGTTATAGTGAACTTTTCCTCTACAATCTTAACCTTCCAACTTTCCCCTTCTTTCCTTCTCTTTCTTTTAATCCTGTTTTATGGGGCAAATCAGAGTGAACAAGCTGGACCCGGAAGTTATAGGACACAAGTACAACAAGCTGAGAGATTGGCATCATGATGTTTCAGCACGAGTGCTAAATGTGTAGTCGACGAGGTTTTGTTTTATCTTGTTTCAGGTGTTCAACTTGTTTTATTTATTTTATCTTGAATATTAAACTTACATTGCTTCCGTGTACAAACCAACATAATTACAGCCTTCATTTGATAACTTATTAAACATCCCACTTCCCGAAATATAAACAACATAACTTGTTTTTGCAAATGCACACGTAAATAACTAAAAAAGGTTTGAAGATAAATGTTATTTTGCTATATGTGATTATATTTGTCTGAGCCTCCACTTCTCAGCACACTTTCTACATTATTTATCTGAGCATGTCTGTACCTTTTTCCTCTTATTTTCTACACTAACCTAATTCATTTGTCAGCATTTGATGATTTTACTTCAATAAACAGCTTTCTTTCTTTTCTGCTGTTGCATATTTCTTACTCTTTCATTCCTTCTTTTCTTCTTGCCCGGCAGACAAAAAGTAAACTTCCAGTAAATTTCCAGTAGGTGAAGGTCTTTGATATGAAGGAATTGGTTGTGCATGAAGAGTAGAGGTTAAAACATGCCTGTAGTGTACTTTGTACAATGAAATAAAACATTGCTCAAAATACAGTCCAATATGAATCAGTTGTTGGTTATAGGCAATAGTTCTCTAAGCACAAAAACTATGAACCATTTTGTGTATTCCAGTTCTGTTATTATTGTCATTGCAGGTTACTGAATCAGTAGCCTAGTACCTGTTCTTGTCATTCAAAGCAATAAACATGTAGTTAATGTTCTTAATTAAAACACAGAATAATCTGTATTCCATTAAAAGAACATTTTGATTTCTGGCAGACACTTAAACTATCTGTCCATAGTTGGTGGTGACTGTAATCACATGTTAGCGAGTGATTTCAATGCATTTCCCAGTCTTGATTCTCCTATCATTCAAACAGAAACACCTAACAGGTAGGATAAGACGAAGCAAAGGCATGCTATGTGCTGTGGCTACCAAACCAAATAGCTTCAGGGTTAAAAATAGTTTACCTGTTGGTGCAACTCCTTTTCTTAACCGGTCTGTCTGGGCAGGAGCCACACCAGCATGATGGTTCTTTGGGATCTTATGAGCCCTGTTAAACCTTTCCCCATATGTGTACCCCACGGATGGCAGCTTTGTTCCAGTAACATTAAAGATACTTTTAAAGGGCAGCCCAGAAAAAAGTATTTAAAATTCAATCAAATACTGTATAATTAGAGCAGCAGATTTTTCTGTTAAAGTATCAAATCTTCACTAGTTGAGAAATGTATGCAACACGTTTCCTTTATTGAGTTTAAACTCCTTGCTGCCCACATGAGTTTCTCAGCTTGAAATGAAGGCTATGAAATTTTACAAGGGGTGTGGACTAGAAAGACAAGTGCTGTGGGAAAAGAAACATCCACTAGTGTTCTGAGACAGCAAAGACAAAAAGCCACTGAAATTATACAGCTGGTTGTCTCTGTAAATTATTGGAGGGTGAATTACATGAACAGTGGATACTATATGGCACCACCACCTGTAATTGTTTCCTCATGTCAGTGATTGAAAAACCATATGAACAGTGGAAAGTGGTGCATATCCTTATTTGAAAGTGCCCCCATAATTATCTTGATTGTTTGCATGTGTCACTGAGATTCCAACCTGCAGTTGACCAGATTACTCAAGGCTTTAGTCTGTGCCGGAGGTTCAATTCAACTGGTCCTGCTCTTTGATTTCTTTCTCATATGTACCTACATTTGTTTAAATTGTAGGAACACTGCACAAACATATCATACCAAATAGAAGGGAAAAGTTGTGAGCATGGTGGGGAGAGTCAGAAAGAATGTTTTTACTGAAGAGATACACAAAGACAGGATATATGTGTGTGTGTGTGTGTGTGTGTGTGCGAATGTGTGTTGTACGTTTTATACAAAATGTGTATATCTGTTTCCTAGTGAGGCAGTTGACAAAACCGCTCCCACTGTGCACACATCTGCACCTCCAGCAAAAACATATTCCAAATCTGCAGCAGCACCCAGGAATGGCAACGTTGTCCCTGCTTCAGCGTTCAAAAGCCCAGCAGCCCAGAACAAGCCTGCCTACCAGCCCGGAGGTCCATCAGGTAGAGGAACACATTCAAAAATCCTTTCCTACTTCTGGTGTTTACTGCCACTGAACTTACTGCCAGGAACACACAAACTAGTGTGTGTCGTTTCTTCTTTTAGCCCACAGAGGGCAGCCCTGTTCTTTGAAATCACTGCTGCTCAGCCGTAATGTTTATTGCAGGTTTTATACCTGACACTAAGCCGTTTTAAGATTATGAGCTCAATAAAAACCAGAAGTATTCTGTTAATGAGCTCAGATTATTGGTTTTTCTCAAGATCCCCTCAGTTAAATAGATTGTGAAATTGAGAATTATGTATTTTATTTTGTGTGTATGCTGCTCCATAGATACAGCAAGTCCATGCCAGGAGACCTCAAGTTGGTCAGGACAAATATTTGCTGAAAGGCATCAGTCAGGGGTCATTATTAGCAATACTAAGACACACGTGTTCACTCATACATGAACAGATGCATTATGTGTCCTAACGTATTTCTCTAGAGGCCTTTTAGGAAACGGCTGCTGAACGGTGCCACAGGGAGCGAGCAGGAGAGGCCACAGTTGGTTCTCTGTTGCCTGTTTTATTTATCAGATTAACATGTACTTGAGGTCAAGTAAACAAGTACGTATCTCATAATGGCCGTGTGGAATTGGGCAGGGTATGGGGAATGTGCTATGCAACCTTTTTAAATTTATAATTTTGTCAGCACCTTCTAAAACAACACATTGAAAACATTATTCTAAGACGCTATAATCACAATAAAAAAAAAATATATATATATATATATATAAAATGTGTATATGTGTGTCTCTGTCTCTGAATTTGGAGAGACAGAACAGATGAAACTGAGATTTGCAGTCCTGCTGTGATTCAGTTTGGATGCCTTCTCTGCCAGACGTTTTTTCTCCTTATCTTCCCCATACAGGAAGACAGCAATGACAGACGTACAAATGTCTGTTCACTTATCATCTTTGCTTTTGCCAAAGAATTTCCTTTAGATTGACAGCTTGCCAACATCCACCTCACTGTAGCAGCTTGCACACAGATAAGGTCATAGAGTGCCAGTGATAAATATTTTGACTCTCTGCATCAATACCACATTCAGTTAAACGTGAAAAAAATACATTATTATATTAATATCTGAGGAATATCAGCCACGTCCTGCTGTTGAAGCTCGTACATCTTGACTTGCTGCCATTATTGTTTGACAATAAAAGTGCAACAGCAGGCTACACATAAACATTTTTATATAACTCAAGAACAGGGCCGTAGCCAGAATTTTACAAATAGAGAAGTCATGAGTGTTTATGTGTATCTATCTATTTTTCGATTATATTTTCTGTACATTTTTATGTCCCAACAGAAAGGCTCAAATATTGTCTATATGACAATGACATTAGTAAAGTTCTAGTAGAAAAATACAGAATTGTTTTTTTTGGACAAATTTAAATATATTGACTCCATGCAAAATATCCTCCATGTGTACGTTTTTAATTGTAAACTCCTCCCAGGTTGCGAAACCCCCAAATTCCCAGACAAAATACCAAGGACATCCCCTCAGTGACTATAAAGAAAGCCCTGCTCAGGAAGCAATTTGGATATCTTAGAACAGTATTTTAGCCAATATTTTATTTGTATCCCCTTTTTGGAACCCATTCCTCTTTCCATCACACTTACTCTCTAGTATCTTTCTTCCTATTAACCCCACACCCACAGTTTTCTCACATCCCTGTTAGTGCCTCGTTCTGTTTATACAGTTTGTTTGCTCTCCATTTCAAGGAAATTTAGGGAGCACTTGTTCTTTGACCTCCCAAGTCTTTGATAATGGTGCTCTCTTTCAATAGTGTCTCTGTCCTTAATGTGTTTACCCTCGAGCACTCCCTCTGAGGGGCGGACAGCACTGACCTCCGTCCTGTTTGTGTCTTTGCTTTGAGAAAGAGAATGAAAAACTGTGCATCCTCTCCATGTGTTTTGAGATGACAGGAGGGGGATTATTTTTCCAGGTGTCTCCTCTGACTCTGGGAATGTGTTGTTTCCCTCAGTGGGAAAAATTGATCCCTTGTCTGGGCTGGGTGGGGTGGCTCTGACCAACACAGCTGTCTCATGCTTGAGGCATGGAGGTTAGAGATCATCAAATCATTCCCTTTCATTATCACGCACCAAAACGGGGCATGCATGTTCTGGACAACTCGTGTTTATTCATTTCAAGTTTATGTAGTACACTCATGCCAGGACAGTTATCTTTTCAATTTCAATGCTGACCCATTATGTTCCCTGCTGCTTTAGGTGTTCCTAAGGGTGGAGCTGCTCCTTCATTTGGCAAGGTTGCCAAGCCTGCTCCTAAAGGTCCAGACCGCCCCACACCACAGCCACATCCACAGGACCTCAACTCTCTGGTGCAGCGGGCTGAGCACATCCCAGCTGGCACGCGCACCCCAATGTGCAACAAGTGCAACAATGTCATCAGGTAAATAATCAGAAAATCTGTTTTACAATAAAAACATTGGATTAATGAAAAAATGTTAGTGATTACATAATTCACAAAGATTCTAAAATCCTATGCAACTTTTACTGTGCAGAGTATTTGTCCGAAACTTACAAACCTTAGTAGCTGGATGGTTTATTTGTGTTTGAGTAATTCTTCTGTCCCTTGCTTATTCTCACCAGGGGCCCATTCCTTGTGGCCATGGGCATGTCATGGCACCCCGAGGAATTTAACTGTGCTCACTGCCACTCCTCCCTGGCAGAAAATGGATTTGTGGAGGAGAGGGGCCAGGTGTACTGTGAACGTTGCTACGAGCAGTTCTTCGCTCCCACCTGCGCCCGCTGCCACCATAAGATTCTGGGGGTGAGTTACAAAACTGTTTGTAATAATTCACTACATTAGTTTACTTGTACTGACATCTCATTACTAATACTATAAACAACATTCACTGTTCTTCATCCCTTAAAGAAATAATGCAGATGTTGGCTGATTAATCTATTGTAATGAATGTGATTATAAACTGAATGATAATGCTCGAATTTAACCACTAAAACAAATGCAACCCATATATATTATCCATTGTACCTTATATGTTAGTAAGAGGTCTGGATATGCTCAAACAAGAACTGGAATGTAGATATAAAATAAAATAATATTCTCACTGTACAAGCTATCTTTACTATTTATCCTATCTATTCCTTTTTTACATTTCATAATCTATTCATACAATCATTCATTTGTTTCTAGTTGCTCTTTGAAATTAGTATTGTTCATTTGGGATGCAGCAGCTGCTGTCAGTCTAGTAGCACTAAAGTAGTGCTGTCACCGGGAAATGCAGCAAAAGTTCAAAACACATAGATAAAGAAATGATTACTTATCACTAACTGTGTTACAAAATCCAAATACATCTAATGGATAATTATAATAAAATAATATTTAAAATCTAATCTGATTCTTAAATTATTTAATGGATCAAATGAGGACTATATATAATAGTTTTATCTTAAACAAGCTGTTTCTCATTTATTTCTTCTATTTTCTCTGCAGGAAGTCATGAATGCCCTGAAACAGACCTGGCACGTGTCCTGTTTTGTCTGTGCCGCCTGCCACCAGCCAATGAGAGGCAACATGTTTCACATGGAGGATGGGCTGCCATACTGTGAACAAGGTAGAGTAGGAAGCCCACAGTGGTAAATTTAAATGTTGTAAAGAACATGTGCAAACAGAATAACATTTTGTCAATGTACTATTTACTCAGACTACTACAATCTGTTTGGGACCAACTGCCACGGCTGTGACTTCCCCATCGAGGCAGGGGACAAGTTCCTGGAGGCTCTAGGATTCACCTGGCATGACACCTGCTTTGTGTGTGCGGTAAGTCCAGGAGACAGTTTTGAGCACAGCAATAACAATAGTTGGATCTGGAAAAAAAAGGAAATGTTGAGAATATTGTGTGAATAACAACACTGTTCACCTTTGGTTCTCTCCACAGGTCTGCTCTACTAGTCTGGAAGGTCAGCCATTCTTCTCCAAAAAAGACAAGGCTTTGTGCAAGAAACATGCCCACACTGTTAACATCTGACCTGCCCCCATGAGTATGACTGGGATTAGGGCAACAGTGTCGGTTTACAGCAGTTTATATTTCAGTCGGATGTTAAAATTGATCTGATGTATCTGTTTGTGTATTCAGTTAGAATAACAAGGGTTAGATATTCCACTGTAAGCTTTGTTTTTGCTCTAATATTGTTATATCATATCAGTTTTATAGATGAATATGTAAGAGTACATTTCAATACACTGTTGGCCATCTGCCCGTTCAATGTCTGTGCAAGTGGATTTTTAATACATAAGTGTTTGTGCTGCGCTTTTTGTTTGTACTGGAGGTGTGTTGAGCTCTTGAGGGGCATTTTTTTCACACAGAATGTGATAGTTTATACAACAACCTACTGAGTCCCTCGGGGGTCACACATACAGTATTAGGAAAAAAAACATATTGGTGTGGCAATTTAAGCTTTCAGTAAAGTGAGTGAGAAATGATGATCATTTAACGTTTATAGGGAGGGAATTATTTATTTGTAAGCAAGACTTGGTCAGTCAACATGCGTTCTGGCAACAAAAAGACTTATTATATGGGCATCTGGCCTTCAGAATAAAAATGGGATATTTTAATAACATATTATAATTTTTTATTGTTTTAAAGTAACGTGATATTTAACCATTCCCAGTAAAGGAAAGCAAAAAAAGTCATGTGTAGCAGTGTGTAAATTAGACACTTCAGGTGAAGTTTCATTGTTAATGCATACAAATTATATACAAGGATAAATAGTGTGGTCATTACGGAGCCATAATAGATGGAGTGGTTATTTTCTGTTGTTTATGTATATTTTGTAATGCTTAGGCTATAGTTCAGGGGCAAAATGGTTCATGAGCATGTTTACCATGAAACTGTACTTCATTCAACTAATTCCTGGCATTGAAAAGCATATAATCTGAATACTGTGTTGATCAGTTCTGTGCTTATATCCTTTTCATTGTTTTTCTGAAACATTGAGGAACTGAACATTTTGTGCCTTTATGCTGTGTATTTGTTCTCACTGATAATGTTTTTGTAATGTTTGATGGAATTTGTTCAATTAACACAAAACAATGTTAATATATATTTCAGTTTTTCCTTCCTTCGTCTTGCACAGTTTCTTAGGATAGAAAATGTACTTGTGCAATGGGCACTGTGCATAAAGAAGCACCTCTCTCTTTCCTTTTCATTTCAAATAAAATGGTTAACATTGAATACCATAATCAGAATTCTTGAATATGCTGTTCTTTGTGGCTGACACTGGACTGCAACTCTTCCTCCTGAAAAACGCCTCCTTTATGTTTTGTGTACTGTTAATGCATTTATCAATGCATAGAAAGCCTTGCAGCAAAGAGCTGATGCATCTTGGCTTGCTTTGCATTATAAATCTGTAGTTGTGACAGTAATTATTCAACAGGCAGGCAGACAGGCACCAGCATGAGCTACCTCATACACTACAGTAAGAGGGAAAAGTACATATCTCCATAGGGACAGGAGAAACAAAACCCACCGGGCACACAGACCCTTGCTGCATTTTTTTCTTGTGTGATAACAATTCTGGTTATAATCGGTCATATAATTTAGGAACAGAAGGTGGGAAACAGATATTCCCTGTTAAGTGTCTTAAGTGTTAGTGGGAAAGGGTAACAAGCTGGGTGTACTGATGTGCACTTCTCCAAGACGTCGGAGGTGGGAGCTGTGCGCAGGACAACACCAGATTTAACCACCCTCAAATAAATAACGCGTGGTACCCTTGGAAAAAAGTCTGCAACAAGACAGAGGGACACATGCAAATAATAGAGGCTGCAGTTAAGAGTTAAAATCAAGGCAGAGGTCTTCACGAGGTACTTTCAAAGCGGAAGGAGACGGTAAGGATACTTTTTTAAAAAAACCCCTCAGTTGTCTGGTCTGTGTCGGAGCGCGTGAGCTGCAGCAATAGTCTTACGGTTGTGATTATCAAGCTTTGCTCACTGTAACCGGAGGGGTCCGTCATTTGTTTAACGTGCTGCTGTTCATTACAACTCGACTGAAGAGCTTATTTTGTTGGCTGCAACGGGTTGCTGAGCTTGATGCTGGCAGCAGCCGCGGGCGATCAGCGGGGCCCCCGACAGTGATGATGATGGTGCTTATCAATAAATGGTGCCATGATCGCTGTACGCCTTATCGCGTCTAAAGTGCGTTAAGATATGATGCAGTTGAGTTCATAGACATATGTAATAAGTGACATTGAGCTACTAACGAAAATAGATGGGAAGGTCTGTCTAGGTAAAATAGGTTCCTGAGTTCTTGCTGTCATGTTTGGTTTTGTTTCTTTCTAACATATTTTGAAATATCTATAACCCTGTATCCAAAGTAGGCTATGTGATGTTATTATCTTCTTGATATTATTATTATTATTATTGTTATTATCAGACTATCTCATAGTAATTTTCTGTAATATGAAACATTTAAGATAAAACAATCTCACTTCAATGTCTATTTCGTAGATGTTCTGGAGCTTTTGATAATATCACATCATCTTCATCACCAGATGTAGTTTGCCCAGTAATCATGGACTTGTAAATGTTAAAATTTAAATTTTTTTCTAAGCACTTAAAAGGCTTCTTGTCCATGTTAAAGAAAAAGTTGAATTGTCAGTTCAGTTGATATTTGAAAGCTACTAAATATTTGTGAGATTGTTTTCAGCACCCACTGTGTTAATATCTGGCAGCGAGCTAAAGCCTCCATCGCCAGTTGATGTGGTGTGGAGTCACTGGCAATATTTGACTGCTGAATGCATGAAACAAAACCTATACATGCTGTGCAGTTGATCACTCAGCATCAATGAACCTGGCCAAGCTGGTCATGTTTGCATCAGCATAACCTGGAGGGAACTGTGCAGAACCTGCTGCGCCTTATGCAGCACTCTGGTGTTGTCTTTGAATATACCAATAACCCTCTAACTTTCCACAGGACAGAGAAGCTCATTGAGGCAGAGCTGAGTGAGTGTTTTGGGGTAATGTTAAACACACAGAGAGCGATCAAACCACTGCCCACCACCCAGTCGTTGCCCCGGCAGGAGTGACGCCCGTTAGTAGGCTTACACGATGGGTATGGCATGTGAGGGTGAGGGTGCATGGCAAGGCAGTGATTTGTGGTTTATACCACATACTCAAGCTCCAAGTGTGTGCATGTTTGTGTGAAACATACTAATATTCGTCTTTTTAGGCCCAGTTATTGCGGCATGAAGGCAGGCCTAGTAGTGTAATGTTGGCTAATAGTATTGTTAGAAAATGTTTTATCTAAAACTGAATTCATGGAGAATTTCTGTGTGTGCACTTGTGGATCGGTTTATGGACTTTAACCATGGGGGACTGAAACCATTAACAATGGAAAGTGAAGGATGAGACATCACACACACACACTTGGATATATGGCTACAGGAAAGTCATGAAACTCACTTACATAAGAGAATTATCAATAAAATAAAATAAACAAGACTACAAAGTAGAACGGCCAAAGACTGACTGAACTGAAGGAACTAAATACTAACACAGATGAACATTGATTAACAGAACACAGGTGGAACAGATGATGATGATGGTAATTAACTAAACACAGGTGATGCAGATGAACTAAATGACAGAAAGCATGGAAACAGCTGGAAAACAGCTGGAAAACAGAACAAAGGAAGACATGTGACTAGGGGTGACTGTGACAATATTACACACTTCAAGCACTTTTACATTTTTATTGCATTAAATTAAGCTATATAAAAAAAATAGAAAAATAAACAACTCTGAGACATTCTTTCTCAAACATTTGACAACATTCAATAACTGGATTAAACTTAAGGCTTAAAGTTTTGGTTGTGTCATGTCATGTGTCACTTTACACGGACTTAGATGTACATGGCAACCACAGAATTACCACGGTTAACGTTAGTCTCAACGTAGCAACTAAGCCATGGTAATTTTTTCAGCAAATGGTGCTAAACTAGCAACGGGGACATGAAAATGGTTACTCTGAAAAAATAACCCATAATTTTAACCCAACACAACTAACCCAGAAAATGGGTTGAAGAAATAGTTTTCAGTGTGTGGAAAATCAGAAATATAAAGAAATGAGGACACTAGCTCATCTTAGCACATACACACAGATGCATACAGTCATTCATTCACTGATGCACATAAACACATGGACCATCACTTATGATCTAGTTAGATACTGACCTCAGTCTGTGTTTGTCCACAGGGCTAAACTCAGCAAGCTGTGACCCCTCACTCCAGTTTCCTCCCTTATAATTACAGGAAATGAGTCCAGCCAATCAGAGCAGAGATATTTGGTGCATATTAAAAAGCTCAATAGGAGCATTATTTGAAAAGGAACACTAAAGGTTTGAGTTTATCCCCTCACACTCCAGCTTCAAGCAGTCTGTCATGTAACATGAGCACAGGCAGACTGTTAGACAGAGCAAATGGTGGAGCTACAGTATATCAAGAGACAAACTGTCAGATATTTAGTCCCAGAGAGACTTTATTCAATGTCTTTTCCAGCTGTCAGGACATTATAATTTTTCATGATTTCCTTTCGATAGCGGAGCATCTCATATCAAGGCTTTCCACAGGTATGGTTTTTCCATCTGTCATTAATTCGCTGATTTCTGCCAGTGGCTGCTGTGCTTCCCACATGCTGACGCTCTGCAGTGTGTCTCCCATGCACACTCATGCATGCCAAAGGAAAGACACAGTCACACAGCTTTGTTTTCTTTGTAACACCAACACTGTCAACACAGATGCTGCCTGTGATGCAGGCCTGCGCTTGCTTTTGTTCCATGCAGCAGCGTCCCTCTTTGGAGGACAGATTAATAGATTTTACTATCACACAGCAAAGTTCTTGAATTTCAACATTGAGATAAACTAACTTATGATCACTGCTTTACCTTCTCTGGCTCCAATCAGCTAGGAAGTATGGGTGTAATGCAGCTGATTTTGTTCCACTTCATAAGCTTCGTCTTACTTGTGGGCTTCACCGGCTCTTTTTAACTATGAATTCAGCGACCAGAGCTTAAGTACAGATGCCCCGCTCACTGTTCATCTAGAGTTGCTGATGAGAGACAAATGCAGGCAACAGGAATTACTTAAAGCTGCAAGCTGCTCTGCTCTTTGCCTGGAAGGTCAGCAACCATGTGAGAGAAAGCCGACATCCTGTTATTAGAGGGGGGCAGAAAAAACGATGAAGAAAGAGGTACAGGATGAGTGGAGGATGATTGAAGATCGAAGAACAGAAGAGGATAAGGGGTACTTTGCATGATTGGGTGAAAGTCAAAGTGGGGAAATGACCTGAGCTTGAAATTTAGTCTCAGGCCTTTCAGTTCTAGATGGCAGACACTTGAGCTCTTTCTAATAACTCTACTTTTTTTCCTCCAGGGAAACACAAGTGCTGGAGCTCTGGCTGGGTAAAGTGACAGGATGCTTTCTGATGTCCTGTGTTTGGACGGTGAGTCAAGCTCTCAGGTGCTCTGTATCAGTTTGGCTTAGTCTGCTGTTTTTCAACATGAATACTTTACAATGGCATTATAAATGTTTTCTGCAGTGTCTTGATCATAAAGCTGAGACATATTGATAAATGTTCAATGTAAACTCTCAAATGTAATTTTTGAGCGGTTTCACTTGATGCTCCGCACCAATGATGAAATCCAAACCTAAAAGCCGTATTGATCAAGACAGACTGAGTGTTGATTCTCCTGCAGTAGAGGTAGTATTTGGCAGGGCTGATCCTGTGTATGTGTGTGTTTGTTTGTGTGTTTTCAGACTGTAATGTCGTCTCGGCAGCAATTTGCTTCCAAAGTGGCAAGCTAATTGACTTTCTGCTGAGCATGTGGATGGCTATGTAAAATAAACCACACTGCCTATAATAGAATCCTGCTTTATCCACTAAAGTATCAGGCTAGACACAGGCTCCGTCTACTGACTGGAGTCCCGGAAATGAATGAGATCAACATCTGATAGAGTGTAGTAAATTTCAGAAACTCTCAGAAGTTTTCATTTCACCTGATAAATTTACCACAGCAGTGCACGACTTGTGAGTGTCTGTTCATGTGTATGAAAGATTATCTTTGGCAGCTGAAGTTTAACAATGTCCAAGAAATTATTTTATTTTATTACAATTTATGTAACAGATTTGGATATTTTTCTGCGTAGAAATATTTCAGCTTTTTACTGTCAAATAAAAATATAAAGACAATGTG